TGGTGGTGTTTCTGGTCGTGCAAGAAATACAGAGTAGATCTTTAACAGCACTTTGAGCCACGTGGTTTGACCCACTACCGACGCGATGCAACAAATGGACCTATAATTACTACCAGTAAATAGTGTAAGACATCCTGCTGGTCTGCGAAATTTAATATAGATTAAAAATATAATCGAAGATGCGAGATTAGATTTCAATCTTAGAAATTCTAGAGATGTCAAATAAATTATTTTGCCTAGTCTAATGTAAAGATGCGATGTAAAATAGTGTTCTATTTTAATTTATGAGAAGAAATATTAACACAAGTAAATTACGGATGGTTGAATTAAAAAAAGCTAATGACTAATAAATATTTGAAGCTATTAAAAATCAGACGATTTAAAATATATTATACAATAAATACAGAGAGATCATTAACAGGTACTGCTTGTTCATCAATTGGACAGCGAAAGATTGCGTCCAGGTAAGCACACCTGTTCGGCAAGGTATGTCGAGGGCTTACCACCGACCGTCTTGTTTTCATCCAATAAGATACACTTTTTTTGCCAATTTGATGTTCTTAAATATATTTTATTATTATTATTTAAGGTTTTTGTAAAATAATATATATATATATTAGGGTGCGTCAAAATTTAATCTCTAAAAGCAACCCTTTAAAATTGGAATTTTGAGTTCCACTTTTAGCAGGAGTTAGGTTTGGGCATTTCCTGAGATATTTTGATGTGTCAGGATTTATTGGATGCTCAAATAATTATTTAATAGGAGTTTTGTTGAAGCATTTTTTCTGGAATTTAAAAATTTCAAAATTTAGCCAAACCAAACTCCTGTAAAAAAATTCGGTGAATATTAAATAAATCGTGACACACTAAAATATAACAGGAAATGTCAAAAAACAGCTCCTGTTAAAAGCGAAACTCAAAATTCCAATTTTAAAAGATTACTTTTGAAGATTAAATTTTGACGCACCCTAATATACATATATATTTGACTCGAAGATCGGTGTTATTAATTAGAGATAAATTCAACTAAAAAAATAATTCTTTAGAAATAAAATATTGTAAAATAATAATAATAATAAATAAAGATAGATAGTTATTATTCTAAGCCGAACTCTCCCGATCCAAATTCTTCAAGACTGAATAATTTTTTATTATTATTCCTTCACCATAATATTTTATCGGTATGAGGTCTCATACCATCAAAGAAAATTTAGGTGAAAATAACAATTAAAATTTTGTTTCGACAATTTTTTGTTAGAGAAAGATGTAATTCTTTACTCAGTGTAACTTTTTTCAGTAACCGAAAAAATTATTCGGACAGCCCAACCAAAAGATCCGGGTTCGAGTCCTGGTCTGGGTATGAGACCTCATGCCGATAAAATATTATGGTGAAGAAATAATAAAAAATTATTCAGTCTTGAAGAATTTGGATCGGGAGAGTTCGGCTTAGAATCATAACTATCTATCTTTATTAATTGTTATTATTTTACAATATTTTATTTCTAAAGAATTATTTTTTCAATTGAATTTATCTCTAATGACAAATTTAAAAATAAGAATGAAATAATTGTGTATGCCTGGATGGAATACAGGCTAAAAATTATAAATAATTAGAGAAAAATTGTGCAATAGGCTAGATCGCCAATAACAGTATCTGAGACACTGTCCGTAATTACCTTCCTAACGGACAGTGTCTCAGATAGCTTAACTGGTAGAGCATTTGGCGCGTAACCAAAAGATCCAGGTTCGAGTCCTGGTCTGTGAAAAACGAATTTTAATTGTGAATTTCACCTAAATTTTCTCTGATAGTATGAGACCTCATACCGATAAAATATTATGGTGAAAAAGTAATAATCAAAAATTAATCATTCTTCAAAAAAATTTGGATCGGGAGTATTCGGCTTAGAATAATAATAATAATAATAATAACTATCTATCTTTATCAATTAATAAAACCAATCTTCGAGTCAAATGTATGTACATATAGATATATTAAATACCTTAAATATTATTATTATTATTATTATTAACAAAATTCAAAGATTTTTAAGTGTCGTAGAAAAAAAGAGTTTAGAAGGACTTGACACTCGTTTTCTATTCAGTTAAAGTGAATATCGTTTAAATATAATAATAAAAGAAAAAAATTAATGTTTTGAGATAAATAAAAAAGCGATATTACCAAAAAAGAATTTAAGACGGATCATAATGATGAGAACAATAATTTAACAGGGTCCAAACTGAAACGGTTTCGTTTTGTGTGTTGAATAAAAAAGAATAATAAAAAAAGATTAGAGGATAACTGCCGCGACAGGGGTCTGCCCAGGTGGATCTGAGAGATGTTAAGACGGCGAAGATGGAAAGACCCTGGTACATTGGTGAAGCCAGACAATAGGACGCCAGAAGATGTTGCTTTTTCTTTCTTACGCATTATTATCTTTCTCGCTCGAGGATTCTCGGGCTTGTTGAGACCTTTGCATTATACTCGTATCGCCTTCTTCTTCTTCTTCTTCTTGGCCGTCTTTACTTCTTCTGTCCACTCTTTTTGGTCGTGTTGGTTCTTGATTCTTGGACCTTGCTTTTACTCGAAAACTTGAGAGCAGCGGCGTGTTCAACTCACCGCGTGAAACCATAATTTACGGGTCGTGTTTACGTACGTGGGCATATACCAGCCGATTCCATACGCCATGGGGCTACTTTCCTTCACGTACAAGCTACCTTATAAGCGAAATCCTGCTTTGTACGGAAAAAGTCTCGTGAGGGTTAAGTTAAGTATCCGTGTGACCTGTTCCGTACTTATGGTCTGCACAGGTGTGCACTGTCTATTTTATTTTATTTTTTTTCTTCCACGAGCTTTTTTTTTATCTTTCTCTTATACTCTTATGCGTCTTTAATCTTTATATTTATCGACAAATACATACTCCATTTAATTTTGGGTCTTTTCAAGGTGCTATGAATACTTTCAATAAGATTTATTTTAAATAATCTACGCTGGTAAAAAAATTTCAATAATAATTTAATGACCAAGTTTTTCAAATTCAAACATAAATTTACTTACTACCTTTGTAATATAACTGAGAGCGACAACTACATTATGTTATTTCTTAACAAAAGTTTTCTTTTTTCCAGAAAGTTTTAAAACTGTTTAAAGATTCAAAGAAATCTACCGAGTTACGGGAAATTATAAAACCGTTGGAAAATTTTCAAGGACTTATAAACTTCTCAAATTACTAGAAGCAATAAAAAGCGATTTTATGGTTGTTTAAATTTTAAATTTAGTAAAATGTGATCAATCGTAGATCAAAGAATTAATGGCCGAGATTACATAATAATTTTAATTTTAATAATTACTAGCAACCTTGCAGCCACTATGTGAACTTTGAAAAATTAAAATTTTGCTTTATTAAATAATAAATTTTGTTAAATTGCACTGTACTTTCTCAAATATTGACGTTTTTAAAGATATAAGCTCATCCCGATGTTACATTCATCAAGAGCTTTCATTTGAGTATCCACATGCATTTTGATATATTTTTCATATATACATATATATATATAAAATATATGAAAAATTGATGTGGGTACTCAAATGAAAGGTCTCGATGAGTGTAATGTCGGGGTGAGCTTATATCTTTAAAAATGTCAATATTTCACAAGATCCAAGGTAATTTCTTAGTTATGTATCTAGAGATAGAGCATTTTCGAACGCAGCCTAAATACTTATCATAATAAATTGACTATCGGTGAGAATTAAATGAAACCTTGAAAAGGCACAAATTTAAGTCAAGACCTTTGCAATGACACTAAATTTCACTAAAAAACCGATTTTATCATATGACTATTCTGGAAACAAAATTTTTCTTATTCTCTTGATAATATTAGATTAAAAAGTAATAATTAAAATTATATTTTAAATGTTATAAAATAATCAAAATATTAATCTTTGCTAGAACACGCATGATAATTTATAAATTGATCGATTTTATGAATACAAAAAAAACGGAGCGTAAATTTTTTCAATTTTAAACTAATTACAATACTATGCTTAAAAATTCGATACTGATTTGTATTATGAAATTCCCGATCCACTGATAATTCTTGAAGTTTAGGCAATCAATCGGAATAGTATGATAATAATCAATCTGTAGTAACACAATAATCTTATTTCATATGAAAGTAAAATTAAAGAAAAAATAATTTGCATTCAACGTATCAATACTGAATAGTCAGTTTTCTAAAAAATAAAAAAATCCAATACTTTATTTTTAATGAACTTCTATTTTTAATAATCGGTCATGAAAAAATAGCTATGAAAATAGCTTTGTTGATTTATTTTTAATTTTTAATTTTCTATTAAATGCGGAAGCTTTCATCTCTAAGAAAATTTATGAATAATTGAATACTTAAGTATTTAAAAAAATGTTCTCGATTGCACAGCAATATCACAGTAGATATCATTATCATAAATAATGCTTGCAATGTAATACAACACTAGATATATGCATATGTTTATCGATACAAATCACTTTTTAAAATTTATAAATAAACAATTCCTGGTAAAATTCAATTCGTTGAATTGTGTTGTCCCTAATTTATTACTCTTGATTTGTGTGAATTTGTTATAGAAGATAAACTCATTAACTTATATTATATCTATTTTAGTTACAATTGATAAACTTAAATGATGAAAATTGCAAATGACTTTTTTTTTTATTTTTAAAAATAAATTACTTGTTAGAAAAATCTATGTAAAAAAATATGTAGAAATTCTTCCCAAAATTGTTTATATGAATTTTATTTTATAAGTCATTAATTAAAAAATAAAAATAAAACGGGATGTCTGCGGTTTTTGTTATCATAAATTATCACTTGTAAATAAATTAAGTAATTGTTCACTAATTAAAAACTTTAAAGACAAAAATATAATTATAAAAATTCAATGACAAAAAAAATGGACTGTAAATTTGCAAATTTATTGAGTTTTATTGTAAATACTCATGTGATTACACAATAATTGGAGTTGGTGGAGGTGCATCCTTAGCAGTTTTGACTTCAGAGCTAGGTGTTTGGTGAATGACCTCTTCTTTAGGTTCAACAACGTTAACGTTGTCAGGTAACGGCTTCTTGGGTCCAATTTTGCCATTTGGATCCCATGGCAACATGATCTTAACTTTAATACCTAATACTCCTTGTCTGAGGAGTACGTGCCGAGTGGCAGTATCGACGTAATCTGCTGTTGGCTCACCAGAGTGGATCATCAATCCATCAACGAATTTCATGCTCTTGGCACGTTGACCTCTCAATTTACCGCTGACCACTACCTCGCATCCTTTAGCACCAGATTCCATGATGAAACGGAGTACACCGTAACATGCTCTGCAATACAAGTGCAACACAAATTGTAATTACAATTATACAAAGAAATAATTAATGACAATTACGGCTGCCGAATTTTAAAACACAGTAACTAATATTTAAAAATTTTTTTCAATTTTTCTTATTTAAAAAAAAGTTTGCCCGCCAAATTGATGAAAAATTTGATTGATAAATAGAAAATATTTTTAGCAAAAAATACTTGAAATTAAGATCTTAAAGTTACAAAAAATGCAGCAATATTAGAAAAAATCAGGCATAATAATTTTGCAGTTACTGTGTTTTAAAATTGGGCACCCGAATTATCAATACAAATTTAAAGACAAAAAATACCTTCTGACAGCAAGACCTCCGATCAACTTGTAACGGAGAGACTCCGCTTGAGCGATAGCGCAGAGACCACGGGTGGCAACTTTTTCAGCGTACAATTCAACTGTTTGATCCTTGAAGTTGAATCTTTTCTGGACGACGGAAGTCAATTCACGAATTCTGCGACCTTTTTCTCCAAGGACGCTTTGGGTATGGGTTGCCATGAGGATGATCTCAGTACGAGTTGGGGTGACACGTACTTCGACTCCGGAGTAACCATCCTCAGCGAGTTCACGAGTTAAAAACTCGTTCAACTCCGCTTTGAAAACTCCGTCAGCGACAAACTGTTGATTAAAATTTTTTATTAGTTGATGTAAAAACTTATTTTTTATCAATACTTAAACTATTAAGTCACGTGTAATTAACTATAGGCGTTAACCTCAAAATTTGTTTATAATTATCAAGATCGTATTAAAATTAAATTAGTATGAAAAAATTATCCGATTTTAATAATTGATCAATAGGACAAAAAAACACGGTTTATTTTTTGGTAAATTTTTAACAATTTTAAAGATAAATAATAGCGATAACATTCGTGACAGCCGAAGACAGTAGTTAATCACTAGTAATCCGAATGAACAAACATATTCCACCAATTAAATTATAAAATAATTAAAGATTAACATTCACGTCTTTCTCTTAACATATTATTTTTTCTTAAAAAATCCACTTATAATTGTTATTTTTTACAAACCTTGCGCTTTTTTGAGATAGACCGTGCGGCCGCCATTATAATGAAAGAGAGAAAGAGCGCAAAAGAGCTGAAAAGACCGTACGACGGTCACGCGTGCACTGTCACAATTAAGCCCTATACCGGAAGTTCTAGTAACATTTTAACAACTAATATATAAGAAAAATTTCTTTTAATTTAAAAAAAAAAAAAAACAATCAAAGTAATTAAAATTAGTAAACTAAAAAATGAATTATTGTTATTAAAATATTATTAGAGAATTTAATTCGCTTTTTTGTATATTAGAAAATTGTAGATAGACATAATATACAATGGCGCGAAATCTAACCAATCGAAGGTAGTATTTTGAATTTTTAATTATAGAATCTTGGACACCTTACACGATTATAAAAGTATTTTAGGTGAAAATAACTACGTGCAAATATAAATTATATAAATAATAATAATAATAATAATAATAATAATATGGGAGACGGATAAATTTTAGTTCATTTTATTATCCGTAATATTCAATTAATAAGTTCATATGGTACATGTATTTATTTGTAAACACTATCGATTATTTCCATGATTTTTAATAATAAGAACATTTGTATATATTTTATAAACATTTTTAATTAGTCATAATCAATCGATTTGTTTTTAATAACTTTTCTATCGAATTATATTTTTTTTTGTTCATTTTCACGTCTTATTTTCTACAAAGATAAATGTTACTTTCTTTTAATAGTAATTTATTTTTTTCAAAATCATATCGCAATATGCTTTTTGATAAAAATTTTATTTTGATACAATTAAATGATAGTTTATAATACTCCTGTTAATTATGAGTGTAAAATAGCATTGTAAGCTTGGAAAACGCCTCCTGCTACTTCTACGGAACGTGATTTCAATGACAACTGAAAAAAATATATTTTTTTAATTTTTACATTAACTGTCCAAAATAAACTATACAAAACAAATTCATGATTTTTTTTTGTATAGATTATTTGGTTTTAAAAACTCTATTGTAAAAATCTGGAAAACTTACTGTAACATCTGGATTTCCTGGTTCGAATTTTAATTCAATAAGCACCCAAACATTATTCGTTAGTTTCAGAGATTGATAGAGCATGTCTTGACCTTCAACATTTCTTTTAGCGATAGTAAAAACATTACTTTGTTGCATTTTTTGTACTACTTGATCAGCTGTCAGTAATACTCCATTAAGTGTATATTGAACCTAAAAACATATTGATATTAAATTTTTTCAATAGTGATATAAGTAAAAAATATAATATTAAAATATCAACCTCATTTTGAGCTGGAATGTCTTTCCATGTTGACAGAAATACTCTTTTGTCTAATTGGCCGTCTTCCGTGAAATAAATATGCATGGGAACAAGACAAGCAAAATAAAACACATCAATATTATTTTTAATAGCAACTTGAAGATTGTTCAATGGATCCATTCGTTGAACTGCACCAGTTGTTGTAAGTATCACATTAACTTCTACGCTTGAGCCAGGACCCAGAGGAGCTGGTACTTGAAGAGGAGCAGAAAGAGTAAGTCCAAAGCTATTTTTATTCAATTGAATAGCAAAACCACCCATTGCTTGCATCGCTTTATTTGTGAATGTCATATCCATACTAATTTGTCCGTTCCTGAAAATTAAAATATAATTATTTTTTTATAATGATAATAAAAATTTAATTTGATTAAATATATTAATTATATTATTCAACTTACTTTCTTGAGAAAGTACCCCAAATATCAAAACCTTTTCCTTTCTCAGCTGGAAGCCAATTAACTTTGGGAGGTACATAGGAAGTGACAGCTTGATTGAATCCAAATATGTCACCAAGAAGACCTGTCGTTGTTTGAGAAACAGCTGGTGCTGAAGTGTCTGTTCCACCAAGTATTCCCTCCAAACCGTCTCCCAAAAGATCTAAACCTGTTGAAGCTACAGGTGCTGGTGGAACAATCGGTGGTCCACCTAAAAGTATTTAAAAAAAAATTAATAAAGATATAAATAAAAAAAAAAAATACTAACCGATATCCATACTGAGAAGATCTCCAATGAGAGAATCTTGAGCTGGAATAACTTGAGCTGCTGGTTGACTTCTAGCTTCATCATTATTAGTACTATTTCTAGCTGGCAATGATTTTCTGGCTCCAGCTGATCTACCCTCGACAAAGGCAGACGGTGGTTTATGATAAACTGACGCGAGACTTGAAATATGACAAATAAGTTCATCAAGTAGCGTGGGCTCTAGTAAATCTGTTTCTTCGGAAATCAATGGTTTTTCAGCGAGTACAACTTCTTTAGCAGCTGCGGGATCTGTACTCAACAACCGCCAGTAAATGAATCCACGGTCACGAAGATCTGGATTATCAGAATCCTGTGTCGCGAGACTCAAGACTTGCTGTACCAATTCTTGGGTATCAGTTGGACGTTTCAAGAAAAGTTTTACAATTGCAGTCAAAAGTTGCAACTGTACTTGAGTATTTTCATCATGGAAACCTTCTAAGAAACTTTCTAATAACTCGTCAGCATTATCAATACGCTCCGCGTATTCTCCAATAATCCAGATCATTGACGCACGTGCTTCTGGTTCATCTAAAGTATCGAGATTCTCACAAAGAGTCGAGATTATACTCTCATATTTGTTTGGATATTTACGGAAAATATCTTTTATAACAACAATAGCTTCTTGAACGACGTAATTCACCTAAAATAATTTAAATTTAGAAAATTATACATTGATTTGTTAAAATATCGACGGTCTAATTAGCAATTGGTCTAACTCCTTATTTTTTAGAGGGTGATTTTTTAACATTTTGATGTAGTAATAGTCCGCTTATAAATTATTTGAATGATCCGAACCAAAATATTATACCTCTATTAAATATTAAATGGTTTTTTAAAGTGATAATAAATTTCAAACTAATTGTGATTTCGTACAAATGGAAGATTCTTTAAAATGGAGTTAGACAATTTGCTAATTAGAGCGTTGATATATAAAATTGTATCAACTAATTACTTTTGTTTGAATAAGATCTAACAGTGTAGACACACATCGCTCAGCAGATGGTTCAACTTTTATTGCGCATCTTCCAATAGCTCTGACAGCTTTTCTTACAAAGTCAACGTCAACTTCAGTAGCGTATTCTTTCAATTCCGATAAAACTTGTGCAATGTTAGCTTGAGATGCTAATCTAATCATAATGTCTAGTTTTTCTAATTTAACATAAATTGGGTCGTTGTATTTAACGAAAAATACTTTCATTTCGTGTTTTAAAATGTCTGGACGCTTTTGAACAATCAAATTAATGTTTCTCAAAGCAACATACTGAACTTCTGGCTCGGAACTGAGAAGAGTTACCAATGGGGGTGCCAATTTTTTAGTCAGTGTAGCTACAAAATCTGATTCTGATTGTAACATTTCCATGAGCTTCATGAGAACCTAAATAATTATACTTAAAATTAGATTGAATCTTGAACATTACTCATATGTATATGAATAAAAAAAAAATGATGCAAAACCTTGACTGCTGATAAAACAACTGCAGCATTGGCATGAGCTAATCGTGGAGTTATACGCTCACAAATACTTTGAGCTTCACGATCATCCTTCGGTGAATAATTAGCTAAAGAATCTAAAATAAAAACTTGTCCCCATTCAGTACATTCATTAAGAGCAGTCAACAATTTATTTATTGTCTGCGCATTCATTTCAACAAGTGGTTGTCCACTAGGACTGGCTTCATTGATCTCTGACAGCGCAGCCACAGCATTAGCTACAACCTTTTGATAGGAAAAACAAAAAATAGTAAATTATTCAAAAATAAATTCAAAAATAATTAATTAAAAAAAAAAAAATAATAAAACTGTTGTGACAAAAAATAAAAAAAAAAAAATAATACCATTGGATTACTATCTGATAAAAGATCTTTCAATTGATCCAAAAATCCTTGGTCTTCAACCAATCCAGCGTTAATATCGTACAATTTAGCAACGCAAACGGCTGCTGTTTTTCTTACATACGGATCCTCGTCCCTCAGACATTTTCTCAATGGTTCACAAAGATATTCTGTTATTTTGTCGACACGAATGCAGCCCATAGTTCGTACAGCCAATGCACGAATCAGTGGATTTGGATCCTCACAGTCCTGCGCAAAAAATTGGGCAAGCCAGGGATTCAAGTCTAGTCATAATAAATACTAACTACTGATTTTATATTTACTAAAAACGACCTAACAAAAATTATTTATTTTTATTTGTCTTCTATTATTATTATTATTATTTTTTTTTTCTATTAATATTTAATGATTATTATAATTTTTAAAAATTGTAAATTTTTGTTTTTTAACGAGATATAAAGTTTGGTATGGTACCTTTGTCATCGGAGATGTTGCTAGCTCCTTTTAGCGTGTCAGAACGAAAAAGGTCAAATTGGTCACCGTCACCATTTTTTAATATAATTAATTATATAATAATAAAACACGACACGAATCGATCACTTTTCAAAGAGCACGAGTTTTTTTTACTATTCGTTTATGTTCTTTTTAGTTATTGTAAAACAATCTTTCGTTCTGTTGTTCTTTTTATTTTTCTTTTTAATATTTGAAAATGATATGGAATATTGTTTATATTTTGTTATTTATGTTTTATTAATAAATAGAAAGACATTGTCACCTTGCAATAGTTAATATTACACATATCATTACACACAAACATACATTACACATTTAATAATATAAATTTAACGAAAAAATATGTTAATAAAATATTTACAACAAAATTAATTTATATTGATATTAATTGTAAAGTAGTTGACACATAAAATTTTTTGAGATAGTAAAAATATATATATAATATACGTGCAATCAGCATTAGCAATGCGTAATCAGGCATTTTGAATGCAATAGACAGAAAAAATAGATTATATATTTTAATGTTATTATTTATGTTAATTTATTAAATAACATATATAAAACCTGCATGCTAATTCTTTGAATTAAATTAATTAATTGAAATTTAAAATTTTTGTTAATAAAATTTTATATAAGTATTTATTCATGCTAAATTTATATTATTATTGTATATACGTCTGTGCATAAACATGTATATTTTTTTTTTTTTACATATAGAAACAAAATTGGTATGAGTAATATTAAATTTGTATTTAAACTTAATTATCGCGATTTTTTTTCGAATTATTTTCGCTGGAATTTGGATTGACGACTAGAAAGTTAATTAGTGCTTAATTGTATAAATAATTACAATCGGATGAATATCTTTTTAAAAAATAAATTATTAAATGCCGATACCAAATTCCAGTCTCGTGCTCTTTGAAATATAAGCGATTCTTTTGTCGATAAAAAAAATCCATTCCATTATATTTTATAACGCAGACAGCCCTGTGCAAACTTATTTTATTTGCAAAGCACAGTCCATTTTATTTAATGAGACAAATTGATTAGATTATAATTATTAATTATTAATCTAATATTGTAAATTTTAAAAAACTTAGTTGAATAAAAATTTAGAATAAATTCATCTTATTAATGAGATAAAAAATTACTGACAATTTGTCTCTGATAAAACAATTAAAATGGTGTAGTATGTATACAGAAAATAGCAAAGGTGCGTTAAAATAAATGTTCATATTGGTAATGAATTTATTATTTTAAAAATTATATTAATTTATTAAATTACCTTTACGAATGTGTTAACTGCCATGATAGCCATATCAGGTTGGCTCTTCGCATAATTCATTAGATAAAGATACACAAGTTTCTTTAACTCTAAATTATCTGTCTGCATGCAGTTGACGACATCGGGGAATAATGCTGATACATCTTTACCCACAGTCATCGACGCAATCACCTGAAAATTAATAAAAAAAAATAATTTTTAATTGTGTAACATTTAGATTAAAATTGAAAAAATTATGACAATTGCAATAGTGATGTTCAATTGATTTTTCTATATTTAATTTTATTTATGAAAATTAATTTAGCATATATTTAATAATTTTATAGCAAATAAATTATGACAAAAAAAAATTAGAAAAAAAAAATTGACATGTAGAAATTTAAAAAAATAAAAAATGCAATTTTTTTTAAATAATTTTTTGGAAAAAATTTTTTTGATAAATAAAATTAAAAAATTATCAAGTGACTGCTATTTTATTTTAATTTTTCAAGTACTTGGTAATAAACAGTTATGCGACATAATCAAGTGAATAACCCTTAATTTAATTTTATAATTTTCAATTATGCTACCCGGCTTCACACATACTTTAAATATGAATTTTTAACTTTGTTTAAAATTAAAATATGACATTAAAATTAGCCGACGTTCAACAATTTTAGATTTTTTTTATCAGTTAAATTATAACAAAAAAAAAAAACATTTTTACAAAATTGCACGTATAATTTTTAAAACTTTCTACATGTGAAATTTCCTTAACTAATTTTTTTTAAATAATTTTTTTACTAAAAAAAGTTATAAAAATTTTTAAATGTCTGCTAACTTTATTGTTATAATTAAATTATCAAATAATTTTTGAGTGAATAAAAAATAAGATAAATTTATTTTAATTATATATTTAATAAATTACCTTCTTTACAGCTTCCTTTTTCTTTTCTTTCTTATCATTGTTTAATTCTGATTTCAATTCGAAAATTTCCCCCTTCTTCGTCGTTGTAAAATATTTCGAGTCCGACATTTTGCTATTAAAAATAAAAAAATAAAAAAAAGCAATTAGTTAAATCATCAGTAGCAGAGATATAACGTAAATAAAATTGGATTGATCCTGAACTATATAGTGTGCAAAGAATGGATCAATGTTTCACTACGTACTAATAATAATAACTCCAAAATCAACTATCGATATACGCACTACAAATAATATATACAATAAATTATATAATTTTTTTAATTGATAATCAATTAATATAAAAACGTAATTTATAAAATAAATGTAATTATTTTTTTTTTTGTTTTTCATCACAAATTGATTATTTCTCCTGACACCGAATGGAGTATGGAGATAAAATATAATTAAAATAAAAAGATTAATATAAAACTAATTATTACTCATTACAAAAATCAATTTTAAAAATGAGTATTGTTAGGAAAAAAATTAAAAAACAATTGAAGTATTTACCTAAACTAATAATAATTAACTGTCAAATATAAAAAATAACGATTTACTTGACAGCAACCACTACGGCAAAACGCCAAAACGCCAAAACGCCCCGCCTGGGCTATTGAAGTAGTACATGAATACGTATTCACTTTCATTGTTACCAACGTAAAAGTAACCAGACAGACAGTGTGTACACTTTTAATTTTTTGATATTGTTGAACATTATCGAGCCAATTGTTGCTTTGTTCAGTCAAGTAACCGCCTTGACTTCACGTGATATTCAAACTTCTCAGCTGATTGTTTATATTAGTATATACATTCGTACAATTTTTGTTTACTTTTTTATTTATATAATCATTAATTAAAAAATGAATTTATTTGATGAATTTTTAAACGCTGTGAATGATGTTAAGCTTGGGTTTATCGTGGCGATGGTAATTGGTTATAGTTTTTACCGTTTTGGCAAGAAAACTATTCCTAATACAGTAGAAAAAAAACCTGACGAAGTGGTAGGTATTTGTTTAATTTAATAAATAAGTATTTTATTAAATATAAAATACAATTTAATTTATAATAATTATATTTTAAATTAATTCCAGGTAATGGAGGCTAGTGATAATGATGATTATAAAATGGTCTTGGTTGTCAGAAACGATTTGAAAATGGGCAAAGGCAAAGTTGCAGCTCAGTGTGCTCATGCTGCTGTTAGTAATTACAAAGCTGCTAGAAAACATCCTAAAATTTTAGCTGGATGGGAAGATTGTGGCCAGAAAAAAATTGCACTAAAAGTAGCTACTCATTTTATAATTATTTGTACATTGATTGTATTTCTGTTTACTCAAATTGATTTAATTGCTTGTACAGGTGGACAACGTTGAGCAGCTAGAGGAAATAGCCAAGAATGCGAGAGCAGTTGGACTTATTGCCAGAGTAATTCAAGATGCTGGTCACACACAAGTCGAGCCTGGCTCCAAAACAGTCTGTGGTGTTGGTCCTGGTCCTGCTGATTTAATTGATCAAGTAACTGGTCACTTAAAATTGTATTAAATTATACTGAATCAGTATATAAACATTATTATTTAAAATATTAATTATTTTTTGAAAATCAAATCAATAAATTTTCATTTAAATAACAAAAGTATGTTTTATTTTCAAAAAATGATTTATTAACACTGCTATTGCAGTAAATATAAATATATTATTAAATTATTATTGTTTGGAATGTTGCTTCGCTATATAAATATTTAAATCTACGATTTTGATAAAAAGTTTAAGAAATAATTCACTTTATTTAATAATTATCTTTTCATTAATTTTGCTTTATTTAATTAAATTAAATTCATTTTTTTAATTATCCGTTTCTTTATAAAAAAAAAAAAAAAAAAAAAAAAAAAAAAATAGTCAATTCAGTTGAAAAATTAACTACTAATTTTCACAATCATTTATAAAAAGAGGATTGTAATTAAATGACTAATTAGCAAATCTAGTTTTTGTTTTAGGCAAGCTCAATTCAGTCTCCATGCAACGATTGATTTTTTTCAAATATATTCGTTTAAAATACTTGTTTGAAAGTTAAAATCAATTTATTATTAATTTATCGTAAAAATTAAAATTTATCCTATAAAATTTTCTATTGTCAATATATAATAACAATAATATACACTTTTTATTAAAATGCAGTTATCAACCCATCATTCAAACTGAATTTAGTTTAGAATAATTATTAAATATAATAATTGAAATAAAGTTAATAATGAATTAGTTGTTACTTCAATTACTATAACGGGTTAAATATTTTCACAATAATTACATAAATAGTAACCAACAAAATTTACTTTTTTTCCTACATGAAATGTTAAATAAATTTTTTTTTTATAAAAAAAAAAAGTAAAAAATAGTAAAAATAATTAATTAGTTAATTTGATTACACAGGAGGAGGTGGTGCTTTTCTGTGTATTTTGTTAAAACTAGTTGCACTACATTGTGATTCCGCAATAGATCTGCCATCTGCTTCATCTCTCCGACAAAGTTCTGGTTCGTTTTGTAACCAATTTTGTGTTTGACTTTGTTCGGATCTTGAAAGTTGACGTTGTTCACTTTCAGTAACATTACCAACTTCTTCAAGAAGTTTTGATAGAGATGGTGCCAGTCCCAATCCAATATTTCTCTCGTGATAAACTTCAGACATTGTCGGTGTCAATTCCCGAGTTAAGCTCGTCAATGAAGTTGCTAAATTCCTCATATTGTGTGGAATACTTTCATTAGTTTGTGGTGTCTCAGGTTGATGATTAATTTCTTCGTTAGTATTATTAGTTGTCGGCATTCGTAATTTTCTTGACGCAATCGATCCTATTTCAGTACGGACACTTAGTCTATCGAGGACTGCTGGTGGTAAGGGTGGTACCGGTTGTCGTCTTAATATCGTATTATGACCATTTTCCCAGTCTGTTACTGAACTGCTAGAACTGGAGTCAGGTCGTACTGTTTGTTCTTGATACAAATTTCTAATACGAGTTTGATGATTCAATGTCAGAGCAACTGGCGGACTTGGAGTAAACGCAACATCAGATTCACCTATAAGCAAAATAATATTACCAATTTTTGTTTATTAAACAATCAAATTTTAATACAAAAAATATATATTTACCTCCTTCATTTGGATACGTCTGCCGTGGAATAGAAGCATTGGGTGCTTCATTAGTTTTACCATCAGGCTCGCCTCGATGTCTGACGTAACTTGCAAATGCTCCACCAAGTCTCGGCCGCTCGAGAAGACTATTTTTCTCCGGTTGTGAAACAGAAACAAGACTTTCCATTGAACTGCCTGAGTCTAAGCTCAAGCTTTTGGGAGCTTCTTGAGTATCTGGTATAATTATTAATAATTAAAAGTAAATCATTTAATTTGTAGATTAATTAATAATTTAAAAAAAAAAGTTTCTTACCAAATAATGCTAATAACGCTTGTAAAGCAAATTGAACTGCCCTCCGAGATGCTTGTTTACTACTTCTAAGTGTAACTTCAGATTGTCCAACTTCCATTAAATCGAATCCTAAGCTAGCAAATAGCTCATGGGAACCCGATGCTCGCCAAACTTTAACTGGCAACGACACTTCTTGACCTTCAGTCGCGCAACTGGCTTTTCGCATTGCAGAAATAACATCTTCAGCTGCTTCTGGTACCTACAAAAAATATGAAGAGTAAAAAAAATATAGATAAATAAATAACTAAATATCTCGCTAAGAAAAATGATAGTACCTGTAATAAACGAACAAGAGCATGCAAAGAAGCTGGTCCCAATCCTAACAATGCTTGTAAACTAGCACTACATCTAGTCAATCTTTCTTCTGGATCACTTTGAGGGAAAAATACTGACGAAGGAATACCATTACCTGCTGGTTCAAAACGGAATCCAACAGACATTAACAATTCTTTCCAACCAGTTGCCGTACCAACTTTGTTTTCAATACTACGTTGAGTTGTGTACATAGCATTTTTCTGACCGCGGTGAATACGTTGAAGAGATTTCTCTACTAAATGTAATGTCACGCGTAATGCATCTCGACTCATTTCTGGTCCACTGCGCAGTAACTCTGCCAGAGCTTGCCCCATTAATGCAACTTTGTTGGAAAGTCTAGCGTCTCCGCCAAGTAACAGCCATCCAGCCCAATTAAGCGGGTGTGCAAAGTGTCTTGTGTGTTGGACGGTTTGCATGGCTTCTGCTAAAGCTCTCGACGCACGAGCGCCTTGTAACATTGCACTGTAAAACGCTCGTAGTAAAATACTTCCAGCCGTTGAAGGTACAGGCCACATTGCAATGAGAACACACTGTGCGCCGGCATTTAAAAGGCTCTTTGCTATTGCTTCAATGCCATCGGTAGTTATTTTGGTTGAACTTTCATCATTGTTCCAACAGTGTCCTGAAGATAATACAACTAAACGAGCAGTTAATTTCTGTCTCATTATTTCTGCTGGAGATACCAAAAATTCAGGACGCTGTGTATTTTCTTCATTTTGATCGGGTGTAAATGCTAAGCTAGCTGAGTTCCATAAAATTGGTATGGTGAGATGAATACATTCTGCATCGGGAAGAGATCTTAGTACTGCAGATCTTGAAGCTTCAATGCCTATTAAATAAAAATAATAAGTAATAAGTATGAATTATTAATGTTAATTATTAAAAATATTAACCTGTTAGTGGACGTGACTCCAAAATCTCAGCAACGATTCCAGCTTCACTTTCTGCGGAGGCAACAGTCTCAGGCCATCCGTGTTCATCTCGTAATTCTTCAGGAAGTACTGGATTACCAACAACAAGAGCTGCAACTGTAGCGCCACCCTCTGGCATCGGCGTACGGGACCTTTTCTTCAAAGCCGCTAGAGATGGTACCACCAACAAAGAAAATCTTTCACAGAGATAATCTTCACCAGAGGCTGCTTGTAAAGCCGGAAGAGGTGCGAGGTAAAGAGATTTCTCAACAACTAAAACTAGTTCTTTTCTCACTGGAGGAAGTAAATCTTCAAATGGCGCTAGAAGAATATCGTAAAGTGATTGAATTGAAACAGGTGTCTGCCAAGCAGGATCTTTGGATCCACGACCCCATCGCGCGCTTCCAGCTCGAGAACTTGCAGAACCAACACTAAAGAGACTACTTAAACTATAGGAACTAGCATTAAATCTGTTTCCTCTCAACGGCATTTTAGAACTCTCGTCAATTAAATCTGGCGATTCACCGAGTAATGCTTCTCGTGCTTGATTTACTTGTTGCTCAAGAGTTATTCCATTAGGCATGGTTGTTGAATGGAACCTCAGCAATCCACGACTCGGCGCTAAGCACCAGACATGTAATTCATTTTCAACCTCACTGTAAAATAATTATTGTTACAATTTGTAGACTGGACATTAGAATATTTTAATCTAATTAATAAAAAAAAAAAATAAGAAATTACATACCTGTAATATAAAACGATTCCTCTTTGCCGGTCGATAATTTCTGAGTAATGAGTAACATCTTCAAGATTAATACTCTTTGATCTTCGAGATCTTTCAGCCCAATTTAGCGCTTCTTCAGCACGGTTCAAACTTACTAATACTTTTTGCAGCATTCCATAAATTTCGACAAGTAAATCAGATTTTTTCGTCTGATTTGTTAAAATACTAGATGAACCATCGAGTGATTCTAATAAATTAGCAGCTTTCTCGAGTTGTTCAACAGCAATAGAAGCTTCTCCGGTTTGCCAATGAACAAGACCAAGTCGATGATGCAGCCTTGCAACTTCTTCACGCCTTCCAAGACCTTCAGACAGTGAAAGGCCTGATTGAAGATAACTCAAAGCGCGAGGAAAGTCACCACAGAGATGATGTAGCCTTCCAAGACTAGAAAATGCAATAGCTCGTGCTGCTTGATCACCAGCTGCTGCTGCTAAACTTAACGACTGTTCTTGCAATTTTATTGCCTCTTCATATTGACCAAGAGCTTCTTGTGTTGCACCAAGATTAGCACAGGCACGGGCTTGTAGTCCAGCAGCATCTAGATCTTCGGCCAAAGACAACTCTAATTGATGATGCCTAAATGCAGAATCTGGATCATCCATTAAAAGATGAACGACACCTAAACCACTTGCAGCTTCTGCTTCTGCTACTTTATCACCTAGACCTCGTGCTAAAGCCAGTTGATGTGACAAGCAACTGACAGCTTGTTCGTGATTTCCTAACGCAGCATGAACTCGTCCTAAATCACCATAAGCTGATCCTCTTGCTTCTGGGCTTTCGACTTCATGAGCAGCTACAAGTCTTTTCTCGAAACACACTAGTGCCTCTTGAAGATTACCCGAAGCTTCACGCGCCCTTCCAAGCCCCCGATATGCTTTCTCTTGGTCTATTATACTTCGTAATCGTATAGCAGCTGCTAATTGCTGTTCATGACACTTGACAGCTTCTTCAGGGTCACCTAGAGCTTCATAACAATCTCCGAGATTTCCCAATGCTCTTGCTTTATCAAGCAATGCTGTTCCAGTTGTCAAGGGTTCTAAAGTTGCTAACTGCTGCTCGAAATATCCTATAGCATCTTCATAATATGCCATATTTAATCTTGCGATTCCTAAATTTCCTAGCGCTTGAGCTTCAATTCCAGAATCCACTAGCTCTCTCGCACGATCTAATTGTTCTTGATAGCACTTAAGAGCATGAGTATACTGACCCAAAGCCATATGAACTGCACCGAGATTTCCATGTGCTCTACATTCACCTCTAAGATCACTAGACTCTTGACGTAAGGTAAGTTCTTGGGTATGAAATCCCAGTGCTTTGTCAAAGTTTCTTGTAGCGCGATGAGCAATTCCAAGTGCTCCATAGGCAGCAGCCTCTAAACTTCTATCAGCCGCTTGACGGGCTAAATTCAACTGACGTTGATGAATTTTAATGGCTTCTTCAGTCTCACCGAGTCTTAAAAGACAATCACCCATATTACCCAAAGCTCGAAATTTTCCTGAGAGATGTTTCATCATATGAGCTATTGCTAAATAATATTTTTGACACTCGAGCGCAGTATCTAAATTTCCAAGTGCAAGATGAGCAAGACCAAGATTACAGTATGCTCGTCCCATACCCGATTTATCTTGTAAATCTTTAGCTAACGCTAAATCTTGATCATAATATCTAACTGCTTCTCGATGATTACCTAGGCAATAATGTGCGTAGCCCAAAAAATGACACGCTTTGGCTTCCCCTTCAACATCATGAAGCTCTTGGGAAAGCATAAGATAATTTTCATAATAAGGTACCGCTTCTTCAAATCTTCCTCTTGATGATAAACAATTGGCTAAATTTAAAAGAGCACACGCTTCACCAGCAGCATCTTTTAGTTCTCTGGCTATCACCAGATGAGCTCTATAATGTCTCAATGCAGTTTCATGTCCTTGTACAGCTTGATAAGCAACTGCTAAATTTCCATGAGTACTTGCCTCGGAACTGCGGTCATTAACTTCTTTACTTATTGTCAATTCTTGCTTATGGTACTTGATTGCTTGTTCATAGTAACCTAAAGCATTGTATGCATTACCAATATTCCCATAAGCCCGTCCCATTCCCGCTTTATCACCAAGTGATCGAGCTATTCCTAAATGCGCTTGATGTAATTTTAATGCCGCGTCATGATCTCCTAAAAGTTGATAAACAATTCCTAAATTAGAGCAGGCACGACCTTCAGCAACCTTATCTTTTGTCGTCAAAGCAACATCCAGTTGACGCTGATGCCAGAGCTTTGCTTGTGCCAAATCACCTGCACATCGTGCTGCATGACCTAGTCCAGCATACGCTCGCGTTTCAATGGCTTTATCGCCAAGTTCTTGGGCTATTTTTAGTACATTTTCATGGTAGGTCATAGCCTGTCCAAAATTACGACGATAATGATGAGAAGATCCAAGGTTACTGAAAGCCCGAGCTTCTTCAACACGATCTCCAAGTCGTCTTGCTATTCTCAAATGTTGAGTATGACAATCAACAGCACTCTCAAACTCTCCCATCGCCAAATAAACAGCTCCAACATTACCTATCTCTCTGGCTTCTTGGAGACGATCTCCCATCTGTTTAACTAATTGAACACATTGTTTGTGTGACGCCAAAGCATTAGGCAAGTCCCCGATTGCAGTGTAAACATGCCCAAGACTTGTCAAAGCAGATGCTGCTGCTTGTGCGTCCTTACATTTCATCGCCAGGACTAATTGATATCTATGTGCTGTAAGAGCTTCTTTGTACGTTCCTTTACTGAAATAAGCTGATCCTAAATTACCGTGGGCTCGACATTCACCTTGGGTGTCGCCAAGCGATCTTGCTACTCCTAAAAATTTTAATGCAATTAAATAACTTAATCTAAGAGCTTAAAAAGTATACAATGTTTTGACAGCATGTTTTTAATACAAACCTAAATCTTGCTGCATATAATTTATAGCTTTGTCGAGCGAATTAAGCGCCCAGTAAGCACTAGACAGTGCTGAGAATACGGAACCACGTAATTTTAAACTACATGTCCCGATCGCAAGAGCTGCTTCTAGCACTCCAGCTGCAGCTTTGTACTGTCCAGCACCAAGAAGCTCTTGTCCAACAACTGAAATTACTACGAAGGGAGATTCATCAAGCTTCATAGCTCTTAGTTGCTGGAATGTAGGCTCCAGTGTTGAACGCAGTGGAGATTTCAGTGAAGCTTCTACCAGTCCAGATAATAGTTGGGAATTGGATGGATCTCGAGCAAGACCAGTGGCAAAAGCCACAAGAGCTTCGCCGTGACGTCCTAAACATTGTAATGCAACTCCTTGACGATAATAAGCCTGAAATAATTTTTTATCTTTATTTCGATTATATTTAAATATAATATGATAAACTGACAGAAATTTGATGAATAAATTATAATACTGAAGTTACCCGTCAGCTGTCAATTTTAAGAATTTAATTGATGAAAATAAATTTAGCCGACATTACAAAATTTTTAGAAATTTTTTATTAAAAAAAATTTCAATAAAACAATTAAAAAAAAATTATCACATGTAAAAAACTTAAAAAACTATAAGTGCAATTTTTTAGAAATATCTTTAATAATAAAAGAAATCAAAAATTTTTACACGTTTTCTAACTTCAGTGTCATTTTAATTGCCATAAAATTCTAAGAATATTTTTTATCCCTGTTAACTTCAGTGTCATAATAAATTGATAAAATTTATAAATAAGTCATCTTACCTTTGGCCATTGAGAAACAAGTTCTGTAGCACGTACAGCATCCTGTAATGCTAATGCAAATAAACCCATTTTAAGACGTGCCGCAGATCTATTCGAATATAGTACATGACTAAGTGGATCCAAAGCAAGTGCTTCAGTGTATAATGTTGCTGCCAGTGCGTAATCCCCATTTTGACAGGCTGTATTACTTTTTCGTACTGTCTCTAGAAATAGAGCTCTTGATCCAGCAGCCAAGGCCGACGTACCTTCGGGCTCCACCTGTTTTTTGAATTAATATTTTTTTATTATATTTTTAAACATCCAAAATTAAAATACTTGACTTTCAACGCAACGAAAAATATTTATTTGTATTTTACTTCACACTTTTATTATTATTATTTTTTTTTTTTTTTGTCAATCATGGAGTCGACATAACGGCAAAGAATAATTAAAGTAATAATTAATATTTACCTCAGAGATATCCCGATGAGACATTGTTTAAGACGAGCCGGTTGCATCGTCTTGCATAAGCATTATCCAGATCCTAAGTGTACTCACTTGGCCTTCGCGGCAGTATTCTCAAATATATATCACCCTCGAAAATTGTAATAATAAATATATTATAATACGGAATAAATAAATATAAATATCACATTAAATATTATGTATAAACGTGTATGTTAACTAAAATGTGATGAATGTTTGAAATATATATATATGTATTATCAATTTAAATAGATTAAATTGGTTTAGTTAATAAAAAAGGAGGGAGGAAAGCGTCTTAGGGGGGCACCCACTGCATTCCTCAGGTACAGCCATCTTGGAATGTGACCTCTGGTCCCATCGTTGGGCCCAACAGGAGTAGGGGATCGGGGCCTGGTGGCCCCACCACATCACCTCAATACACGGTACCACTGTACCACTACAGCTCCATGTAATCTACAAGTATACGCTAATATTATCAACATTAACATCAACACATTCTTTTTGCACTAATACCATGCCTTTATGGAACGTTAATCTTCATCTATAATAAATATACACCATTCATTTCATTCTGATCATCACACATTCACAACTGATCATTTTTATTGCTGTAAACCTTTCAATTATTTTTATTTTCACCCCTACTGCTCTTTATTTACACAACAATATTTATTGTTAATGAAAATTTATAGTGAAAGTATCTATGTTAATTATAATTAAATAGAGCGCTTAGATTAAATTAAATAATTTCATTTATATTATTATAAATATTACGATTTATTTGTTATAACTTTAACATAATATGCGTATATATAAAATAAAATTTAATTTTAATTATAAATCTTTTAAATTAACATCATTGAAATGATATAATGGTAGTTTAGATTTTGTATAATGGCAAAAATTAATCTGTATATACATATACTTGTGAATTTATTTGCAACATTTTTTTAATATCTATGAATGAGCAAATATTGATATTTAATTGAGATTCTCGATTATAATAATAAATATTTTTGACAATTTTTTCCTTTACAAGCTAATAACCTTTTCATTGCTTCTTCTCCGGTGCTTGGCAGTGATATATTTGTTTCCAATCTACCTGGTATCCAATTTGTATTTTCTTCTCTATCTAATTTTTTATTATTTGCTTTGATACGTCGCCAGAATGCAAACCTGCTATTACCAAGCCAGCCGTCTATTCGTTTTCCTATGGCATTTAAAAAACGTATTTTGGGAAATGTTGACACTACATAACCCCATGAGTATTTTAAATATAATACAGTGTGAAACCACATGCATTTTAAAAATTGTATCACAAGATTAGTACTCATACTTACTACATCTGAAATAAGATGTAGTAACCATGTACAAATTTTTAAAAAAACTTTACACCAACGATTTGCATACTTGTTTAAATTTTTACAAAAATCTTTTATGGGAAAATCACGATTATCACGTTTCCGATATTTCTGACCTTTTTTTATTTGCTGAGCTTTTTCAGCATGAAAACGTTTTGAGTTTTTATCCTTTATTAATTTTTTTTCCTCTTTATTATTTTTACTACTATTACTATTGTTATTATTATTATTATTGTTAATATTATTATTAGTGTTGCTGCTGCTGCTGCTGCTGCTATTATTGAGCTGCTGATTTTTATCAATTTTTTCCGTCATTGTTGCTTGATTAAAATTACTGAACGAATTATTAAGATTATTATTTATTTGAATTGGACGTTTTTGTATATTACCAGGTGATTTAATATTGCCATTTTGTAATTTATTATTATACAAAGTTTCATCTTTATCATTTTTCTTAGAAGTCTTAATGCTTTTACGTTTTTCAAATTGATCAGATCTATTAAATGCATCCATTTCATGAGATTCACTGTGTATTTCAAGATTATCCAATGAAACCCAACGTCGTGATAAATTATTATGATTTTTATTATCAATTGATTTTTTAGGAACTTGAATTTTCGGTGAACCATGATCGTCACTTCCCGAAGAATTCTGTCGCTTTAATGAACCTATTTTATTCTTGCTTTTAGAATTTTTACCAGCTGTTTTTTTCAATCCATTATCCGATTGTGTTTTAGCAGTCAATGTATTTAGAGGCAATGAAGGTGATGGAGCTGATTTAGTGAGTACAGATGAGTAAGATGGTCTCATAGGTTTAACTTCAGCAACGATTCTCTGTTTTTTCGGGTGTGAATGCGGCGAGCTCTTGGGTAATAATTCTTCAATCTCTTTTTTTTGTTCAACTGCGCCAACACTAATAGAATTTTGTACTGGAGTAACATTCGGCGAGCTACCAAATGGACTGTAAGTACCTGATTGATTTGGTACCCAATTACCAACAAGATTATCAATGAGTTGTTTGCCATTAGTATTTTGATGGCAATTGCTGTTGTGTTGAACAGGTACTCGCGGTTCATTAAAAAGCCCATACTCACGATCTCTAGCAACGCTCTGATGCCCATTATACCCAGATAAATTATTAACTTGGCATTGATCTGAAACAATCACTGGTCCATTACCGTAAATCACATTGATATAATTGCCACCGCCAACATCAATTGTACCAATCAAATCATTATTTTCATTTATTCCCAAATGATTAACTGCTTGTGGTGAAAAATAAATAGGATCTCCAATATTATTAGTGTTGTTGTTGTTGTTGTTGTTGTTGTTGTATCTTGGAACATCTTGCATATAAATCGGCGGGGATACAGAGTTAACAGGTAATATATTTGGAGCTGAATTTGGATGGTGAACTTGATGCGACAGCGGAGGTGATTGACTTGCTGAATAATTTCTGCTGTTACTTGTCAAATAGTGTCCCCAACTCGGTGTCGTTGTTTGTGACTGTGTTGCTCCGAACTGCACATAATTTTCACTTGGATTCTTCAAGTCCGCAGTCATTGCATCTATTATTTTATCCAATGACATACGCTTTGATTCAGATGGCGATTGTTGCCGTTCCGCCATCTCTCATTAACTTCTAAAACATATGGAATAATTATTCATTTATCAATACTAATTAACTAACTATTAAAATGTATTTATTATTATTATTTTTGTCATTGCTAATATTGAAAAATAATTTAAATATAAAACTCACTCAAGGTGTTGTAATTTAAATAGATAACTGAAATTTTATTTATATTTTATATAAATAAGTACTCAACAATGATACAACTGTTTTATATGACAGAAAAATGTATATATCGTCAACATAACCAAACTTTTTAGGTCTACATATTTTTATCAATAAAATAATGATTTGTTTTTTTATGTGCAATAATAACCGTGATGTAACGCAATATTTGATGTCATCAATATTATTTTTATGAGATATATAAACAAACAAGTTTTATGTTTTATTTAACATTGTAAATGAACTCACTGTAAACACACATAAACAAACTACACTAGATCTGTTAGTGATACCATTGCGTTTTTAACGACAGCTTTTAATAACAATAATAATTATAATTATAGTACGAGTACAATAAATTACAAAGTAATTAGTTACAAACCATGCGGCTAATGGATAAACGATTATGCAGCCATATAGTTCTCTTCAACAAAATAATCACGAGGACAAAAATTACAAACAAATAATATTAATATTATTATTATTATTATCCAGGCTGTTTTCTTTGTATTCGAGATTACAAAATTATTTGTTTCAATCACTTTTTAGCTGGCATATTATTTCACAACTTTTAGTAGTTTCCTTATATAGCGATGAATAGAAGCGCTATTTGCGCACATTTGCTCATTATACATACTACATCTATCTAATATATAAAATTCTTGTGTCACGGGGTTTGTAACTCCGGACCGAACTCCTCCGAAACGGCTCGACCGATTTTCGTGATCCTTATCGAGGATACTAACCAGGGGGGAGAATCGAACAACATCTATTTTTCATCCCCCTAAATGTTAAGGGTGGTCCACTCCTAAATTTTTTTTTTTATTTTTCAGACAAAATTTTTTGTTTTTATTTTTTTATGATATATCATACAAAAATACATGCAACCCTAAATTTTCACCCCTCTACGATCAACCCTTATTTTTTATTTAGTAATTAAAAAATTTTATTTTTTTTGCAAGAATTTTTTTTTATTTTGTTACGATTTATAATGAAAAATTTTATATTACTCTGAATTTTTCACCCCTCTACGATCAACCCCTATTTTTTATTTGTTAATTATAAGCTTTAATTTTTTGGCAAAAATTTTTTTTTTATTTTGTGATGACTTGGAATAAAAAATCTCATATTACTTTCAATTTTTCACCCCTCTACGGTCAACCCCGAATTTTTAACTTCCCGCTAAGACAATTGAAAATTTTAAAAAATCGGGAAGTTATTGGTTTTATCCCGTTTTTCGAAAATTGAGTGTTCATCAGATCTCGACGTTTTGAGGTCCTAGGAAAAGCTTCCCTGACTATTTCCCGCGATGGTGTCCGTGCGGCTGTGTGTGTGTGTGTGTGTGTGTGTGTTATTAGGCATAGATAATAGACAATGTTGATGTTTTTTAAAAATATACATGAAGATTTTTAAGAAAGGAGTAAGTACATATTTTATTTAAAGAAAAAAAAAACTTTTTTTTAAGTTTTTATTTTAGACAAAAATAAAAAAAAATCAAAATTTTGAAATATATTTGAAAATAATGGAAAAAGTAAAAAAAAAAATAATGTACATGTAGTTCTTCGAAAAATACACAAGTACTTTTTTGTTTTTTTTCAAAAAAAAAATTTTTTCAAATTCATATCTGCATCCAAAAATTAAAAAAAATTTTTGAGTAAGGATATTTTTGAAAATATGTAATTTTGAAAAAATCCAAAAAATGTACACGTGTATTTTGTAAAAATAAACATGTACTCTTTTTTTAATTTCAAAAAAAATTATTTTTCAAATTCATATCCGTATCCAAAAATTTCAAAATATTTTTGGATACGGATATCTTTGAAAATATTCAAATTTAAAAAAAATCAAAAAATGTACATGTGTATTTTCATATAAACTGTATGTACAATTTTTTATTTAAAAAAAAAATCATTTTTTAAGGAGTTATCATGAATCAAAGGTCCTAGCAGACAAAACGCATTTTGAATCAATGTACATTCAAATAATTGAAAATAATGAATTTTTAAGAAATTTGGACCATTTAAAACTTTATGAGAGCTTTCCAAAAACTATTTTTGGTCATAAAAAATTTTTGAAACATTTTCAAAATTTAAAAAATTTTGTACATGTAGATATTTTCGCGCCAAATAATTTCATATGCGTCCATTTGCCGTAGCGCTCCATTCCTACTCGAGATATCCGCATCTAAAAATTATATTTGTCGGCTCTATGCCAACTTCAGGGTCATCATAATGTACATATGTTAAATAGTGTGGATATAAATGAGCGCGCGAAAATACTAAATACAGTGTGTGTTTACGATAAAAAAAAAGTACCTAGTATAATTTTTTTCACAGTTAGCTACAGCAGCCGCAGATAAAAAACAGAAAGTATCAGGAGTTCCAAGACTTTACTTTAAAACTTTAAAACTAGACTTTAAGTCATCGATGGATGAAATCTCACAGGAAGTCTCAACCAAGCGCTCCGCCTAGTATATAGATGCGGGCAAGCCCGCGCTTGTCGGCGATCACGGGAGGGGAAGAGCAAGAGGGGAGATGAATTCCCCTACAGCAAAACTCCAGCAGAGGGCACGTAAGTAGGACAACCTTGGGACCAATACACAACAGCTTCTCTCATAAGGATGCCGTGTATCGGTTACGGAATATAATACTTGTTTTGTTGTAGTTCAAAACACTCTTATATTGTTTTGTTAGATCTTAAAAGATCGCACGTGGTTATTAAAAATTCGTTTAAAAAAATTAATTAATCACCATAATTGTTTATTGATTAATAAATAATAAGTATTTGTTTAAATTTGTAACAATGAGTAAAAAACGTCAACGGAAAACTCAGTACAACGAAAATGAATATGATGTTATTCCAAAATCTCTGAAAGTGATGCGAAACTCCAGTCAGAAAAAACGTTTAATAGTTATTTTAGAAAATGCTCAACTAGAAACTGTCAAGGTAATTATTGTATAATTATTTCACCTTAACTTTTTCATTAATTAAACTATATTAATAATATTTTTTACAATTAATAATAGTTTGCATAATTGTTGGTTATAATCATTTGTAGGTTGGAAATAACTACGAGCTTTTGGATAGTGTTAGGCACCGTGACATATTGCAAAAAAACAATCGTGACCCAGCTACTGCATGACCAGATATTGCGCACTACACCATTGTTTACTTATGCTTCAGCAGTCTCCACTAAATCAATCTGGATACTTACAGGTATATGTACATACTAAAAACAATGTGCTTTTTGAAGTAGACAGGTTTATTGAAGTCCCAACTTATTTCGACGAGTTTGCTGAATTGATGGGTACGATATTATTTATCGATTATTGGTTAATTTATTTATATAAGTATATTTTAATTGACTTTTTACAATTACAGTTTGCCTTTTACATAAACATAAAATACGAGCTGTGATTAACGAATCGATTCTTTTAAAAGTTATTAAAAATCCAATTACTGATTGGTTACCAGCTGGTTGTAAAAAAATTTTAATGTCCTTCAGCGCTGATAAAATAAAAGATCCTAAAGAACTTGTTCCTGATGATGAACCAATTGTATTTATTATTGGAGCGATGGCTCACGGACAAGTAAGTAATTAATGTCATTGAAATTGGCATAAAAATTAAGTTAGCCGACATATCAAAAAATTTTTAGAATTTTTTTAAGATTTCATTTGTAAAAAACTTGAAAAACTATAAGTGCAATTTTTTAAAAATATTATTTAGTTCTAATTTAGTAATTAAAAAAAAAAACTCAAAAAATTATCAATGTCGACTAACTTTAGTATTACGAAATTGGCAGATATTGATAATTTTTTAATTATTCTTCAATAATAAACTAAGCTTAAAAAATTGTTTACAAAAAATTGCACTTATAATTTTTTAAAAACCATAAAGGTGGAATTTTTTAAAGGAATTTTTCTTGCTAAATTTATTATTTAAAAAATTATCAAATACCTCTCAATGTCAGTATCACAATAATTCATGTTTTTTTTGACAATTTTTTTTGTATCAATTCTCCATTTAATAATTGTAATTAATTAATTGATTGAATAATTTTTTCAAGGTAAAAATTGATTATACCGAAAAAACATTTTCAGTAAACAGCGTACCATTATCCGGAGCACAGACATGCATTGATTTATGTGACGCATTTTATAAAAAATGGAATCGATGAAAGTATTTATATTTTTTTAAATCAATAAATAAAAATTATTAGTGATGAATTAAAGCTTGAAATTTTATTTAACATTTATACATTTTTTATTCAAATATTTACAGTCTTGCTGTTAAATTGCTAAAACGAAACATTGGCTTTAGCATAAATCAAATATAACCGTAATGTTTCAACAGAACTTATATTTTAATAAATAATAATATCACTTTTGGTCAAATTAATGACGATCAGTATTCTAGTCTCTTTAGTAAAAAATGTTTAATTAAACATTTAAATCATAAATTTCGATTAAATGTACTAAATTAGCAATAATTAAATACTATGTGAGTCGTTATGTAATTTTCCATATTTTGTAAGAGCTTCTAAATGATTTCTTACAATAGTTTCTTTAGAATTTGCATTAAGTTTGTACCACCGTCAAATTGTATCGACAGCTTTCAAAGTATTTTCAGCCAAAGGATTTATTAACGAAGCAGGCTGGTTTCTGGTTTTCAGGTTTTAAAATATCAGTCACATCTGAATCTGACGTTAGTTCACGGATTGGAAATTCCAGAACATCAGTCAGTTTCTAATTCTTGGGTTTCAAGATTTGAACAATCCATAGCAACTGATTCAAGCGTTGATTTCCGTTGTAGTATTTCAGATTTTAAATTATTACCTTCTGCTGATTTAAAGAACTCAGGTATTGTTTTTATTATTTTATAAGTAAGTGGAATTTTTTAATAATAAAATTGATACCAGCAAATTAAGTACACTTATTAAATTTTTCAAATTAAACACATGTGAGTTTACAAATGGAGAAAACTCAAAATCGAATAATTGTCAGGATGGACTAGAGGCTTAAAAAATTTTTATAATAAAAAAATTTTATAAAAGTTTTTATCTTTTATTTTTTTCCATTAATCTTATGATTATTTTAACTTTCAAATTTTCATGAATAAATTGAAATTTAGTGATGAGAATTAACAGGATTTTTTTGTTAAAATATTAATTTAATTATTCAAAATAAATATATTACACTAATTGTAATCAAATTTGATACATTTGATTGTAATAATATTTGTATTTATTAACAGCTAATGTTCATTCATTGAATTTATAATTACATTTAAAGTTTTATTGTTAACAATTATTTTTTTTCGCACATTAATGTCACATCTTCGATTCGTTGTAAGACCTGAGTAAAAATTTATTATTTTAAGTTTAATCTTTTGAATGAAAAAATATGTATGCAGCTTAATTCCAACCTATCAGTACCTTTGTTCATTTCACAGAATTTTAAACTATTTTTTATTAACCGCTTTTAAATAAAAATTTTAGAATTTCGATTTTATAAAAATTTGGATTAAAATAATACTTGATAATTTTAAACCTACAACAGTAATAAAAAATTTGTTATGAAATAAACTTTTTTTATCAAAACTTATGTGATTGTGAAAATAAAATAAAAAATATATTTTTAATATTGAAAATTAGTTTAAAAAGCTCAAAGTAATAAGATGATAATAAAGAAAAATATAATTACAATACCTTAGTTTTAATTTAAAATTATTTTAATTAAGAGCATGTTAACTAATGTGATTAATATAAACAGAGTTTTGCTAAAGCAAAACTGGTACTTTATTGATTCGATAGAAATAATTAAAAAAAAAAAAAAAAAAAAAAACAACTTTTTATTTTTCAATACAATAAGTAGGGATATTTATTGTTACAATTGTGGTCAATTAAATGAATGGTTTCTTACAAAATTTTTTTAAACATAATATTTAATAAAATTAATTTTCTCAACCGTGATTTTAATAATTAAAAGAATTTGTTCTATCACCAATGCGATCACTATTTTTCGACTAGTTTTAAACTAATTCAAGTCGAGATGGAGCATTCCATCTTTGCTAAAGATCGAGACGGGATTGTCTTGTCTCTTGTTGTTGTTAGGTCGATGGACTATACATATAGTCTTCCTACGATACATAGACTTCCTGCCAGTAGAGGCGTGACTGAATGAAGATTCAGTGTGCCGCCACAAAAAAGCCGCGCACCCGCAATGCAGTGGTTGATGTAAACAGACAGTTTAACTAAATCTCACTAGGCCTACCACCAAGATCAATTCTCAGATCCAACATCATCCGACAATCAACTTGCTTGGAGCCACTTGGAGCTACGAAAGAGGGCCAGCAGCGACGTGTATTGTAGAAGGTCGTTCGGGTGTCATTCAGGGGTTATCAACTAATTGAACTAAATCACATAAAATTTATAAATTTATCAGTAATATTAATTTCATTTATTTTTTGCCACTTGATAAATTTAAAAAAAATATCAAAAATGTTGCCACGTCTTCTTAAACCTTCAGTTATTGCTCAAGGAGCCAAACAATTGTCAACTAGCTCTCAGGTAAAAAATATTTCTTGTCTTAATTGTATTGAATTTGACATTATTTAATAAAGCCTTGGAGTTATCTAATGATTGCCACTATTATTTAATCGTAATCTCCGTTCATTAATTCATATATGTAACCACAATTTATTATTAATTTTTTATAAATGATCATTTTCACGTGGGCTGTATAATTTTTAAATTGATAAGTTATCCAATGAATTATGCAACTGATTTTAGAAATGCATAATTTTTGTATCAATTTATTTCATTCATTAAAATTTCCTTTCCTTTTTTTTTTTTCTGATTAATAAAATCGGATGTAAATAAAATGTAATTAATTGTTTTTTAATTTTTCAGCGAAATGCCAAGGTCGCTGTCATGGGTGCCAGTGGTGGTATTGGACAACCTTTATCACTTCTGCTCAAGCAATCACCTCTCGTAACAGAATTATCGCTTTACGATATTGTCAATACTCCTGGAGTTGCTGCTGATCTGTCTCACATTGATACCCACTCAAAAGTTAAGGGTTTTGCTGGCCCGGATCAATTGAAAGATTCTCTCCGAGGTGTTCAGGTAGATCATTTTAATCAAATTTTAATTATGACCAGCAACCTTACAGTCACTATGTGACTTCCGTAATATATACTATAAAAATTAAAAATTTTAATTTTTTAAATAATGAATTTTGTTAAATTGCACTGTACTTTTTTAACTATTGATATTTTCAAAGATATGAGCTCATCCTGATGTTACACTCATCAAGAGCTTTCATTTGAGTACCCACATGCATTTTTGATATATTTTTCATACATACATATATCTAATATATATTTTAAATATATAAGCTCATCATGATGTTACACTCGTCGAGAGCTTTCATTTGAGTACCCACATGCATTTTTGATATATTTGTCATATATACATATATATATATATATATATATATATTAATTAAAAAAATATCGAAAATCTATACAAGCAATAACATGGTAATTGACGGCTCGACGGACGGCTACAGATAATTATTGATTTTATTCTCATAAACATTTGTATTTTATACGAAGAGATAAACAGTCAGTTTTTATTTATTTATTGTCCAGCTAAAAGTATTTGCTTTGAGCTTAAATTTATCGAGATGGTGATTGATTTATTGATAGTAAATTGAATATTTTTGTTTTTGTTTGAATTTTTATACTATCAGGTATTTACAATTCGGAGAATGTTAATAACTGTAAATTATAACACATAAATAAAAAAAAAAAATAACACAATTTTTTTATGTGATTAGAAATTTTTTTTTTTTTTATAGATTGTTAATAAATACTATCAACCTTACAGTCACTATATGACTATCGTGACTTGTGAACTATAAATATACAAAAAATTTGCTTCATTACATGTGGGTACTCAAATGAAAGTTCTTGACGAGTGTAACATCGGGATGAGCTTATATCTTTAAAAATGTCAATAGTTCACCAGATACAAGGTCAAGACTTTTCCAACGATACCAAATTTAACCATAAAACCCCATTTTATCAAATAAATACACTGGCCACAAAATTTTGCTTATTCTCTCAATAATATAGATGATGAATCAACAAATTTATTTCACTGCAAAGTTATACTCTACTCACGAATAAATTCAAGTTTTTAATACATGTACAATAAATATATTTTTATTTAATTTTTTAAGGTCGTAATCATCCCAGCTGGTGTACCTCGTAAACCAGGAATGACTCGTGATGATCTTTTCAACACGAATGCATCAATTGTTCGGGATTTAGCAAAAGCCGTTGCTGAAGTAGCACCAAAGGCTTTCATTGCCATCATTTCAAACCCTGTTAACAGCACAGTACCTATTGCCAGTGAAGTTATGCAAAAAGCTGGTGTTTACGACCCAAACAGGATTTTTGGAGTCACCACATTGGATATCGTTAGATCTAATGCATTCATTGGTGAAGCTAAGGTATATTTCATCAGATTAGATTATTTTTATATACAAAAGTTGATTTATTTTTTTTTTATCATCGAAATTATATTTTTCTAAACAGGGATTGGACCCTCAAAAAGTATCTGTACCAGTAATTGGTGGTCACAGTGGTATTACTATTATTCCTGTCATCTCACAAGCGAAACCAAGTGTTTCATTCCCAGATGATAAACTCAAGGCACTTACTGAGAGAATCCAAGAAGCTGGAACAGAAGTTGTTAAAGCTAAAGCTGGAACTGGATCAGCTACTCTGTCAATGGCGTACGCTGGTGCTCGTTTTGGATTCTCACTGATTCGAGCACTCAATGGCGAACAAAATGTCGTCGAGTGCGCGTACGTGAGGTCTAACGTTACCGAAGCCAAATATTTCTCAACTCCTGTTCTCCTTGGCGTAAGTTTGAATAAATAACTCATCAATTGATGACTACATCATTGTTAATTATAATATTAATTTATTTTCTTATTTTATTTATAGAAAAATGGAGTAGAAAAGAATCTTGGTTTGGGAAAACTGAGTGCCTTTGAAGAAAAATTATTGGCTGCTGCGATTCCAGAACTCAAGAAGAACATTCAAAAGGGTGAAGACTTTGTGAATAAGAAGTGAACATCTGTGTAAATGAATACTAGATTATTGATACACGTTTAAAAAAAAAATCAATTAATAAATAACAATTCGTATTAAAATCTAATTGGCATGTATGACAGAAAAAAAAAAAAAAAAAAGAAAAATTTTCGCATTTACTGCAACTAGCGTTAAAAATATTAAATTACATGAAATAGTACTCAATTTGCGTACTAAGTTAATGTAAAATAGTACAAAGAATAAATAAAATTGATCAATAGAAGAATAACTTGAATTTTATATTTTTTTTTTTTTGTATTAAAATTATTTTAAGAGCAAATAATGTTGACTACATTTTGTCATTGTATTGAATTTGGTTTGTTTACATTCCGATTTATTTTAGTGTCAAATACTATAATTACTTTTCAACAGTGTCACGTCTGTGCTCAAAGTATACATCAATCAACAAAAATAGTATACTTTGATTGAATACTCAATTGAAAATAGCAATTAAGTAGTAAGTAATTTGTGTTACACTGGGGTAGTACTTCATATTGTATTATTATAAATTATTATCTATTGTATAATTGGTTATTTGAGTTTGAGTGAGTAAAACGTCTCAAGAAATTTGATTAAATAAATAATAACTTTAAATTTAATTCAAAATAATGACTTCGGAGTATTGGTTGACTAAAAACAAATTTAATCTAAATATTTTTGCACTACAGAACTTAAAATTCAATTCAGGTCTTATAGGCGATGTTAATATATTGAATTGTGATAATATTATAAAAACAGACCAGCTTAAAATATTTGACGAGATGTTGGCTAGTAAAAATATTGTGGCAATGTACAATCCTAATTATAAAAGTTTGAATAAACTTCAGCGACAATCTTTAGTTGAAAAAAACGATCAACTTACTTCTGAGATGATAAATAAGTATGAAGTCGAATTTAATGAGACCAACAATCATTTTCAACACCTAGTGAGGACACACTTGACTGATTCACTTGAATTGATAAAGCCTGTTAATTTTATTCCAAGTTCTGAATCTAAAATGACGAAGGTAAGTTATTAAAATTATATATTTGATAAACGCAACATACTTTCTTTTAATTAATTTAAATTAAATTGTACTTGAATATTCAATTTTATTTGCATTTATATTCACAGCCGACTAAAGCGATCATATCATTTGAACGAAGTATGAATGATAGTATTGTATTAAGGAATACTTTAAATTCATTTATGATATTTGAATTGTTAATAATACCATTTATTAAAGTATATTTCTTCAGTGATTGGATACAAAATATTTTTAAAAAGGTAAATAGTTTTTATTATTAATATTAGTTTCTTTAGAAATTTCTCTGTATAATAATAGTTAAAAATTAAAATAAATTACAAAGAGAAAATAATAATTTGATGAAACAGTAAAAATTATAAATTAATTAAAATAAATAATTTTTTGCCATCTAATCAGTCACTTTTTTGTCATGTTGACGATCAAGTTTCACACCAGCATAATTTGAAAATGTTGCAATAAAAATTGACTTTGATCGAATGAATATGAATAATAAGTTTCGAAGAATGAGAAAATATCAACCAATAGTCAGTAGATATCTGACAATTTTAAAGATTTTCCTTATTAAATATATTATGACAAAAAAATGAAAAAAAAAAAAAAAAAAAAAAAAAAAATTTAATGTGTAGAAAATTTGCAAAACTATAACTGCTATTTTTTTATCTTTAATTTATAACATTAAAATTAGCCGACGTTTTTAATTTTTTGATTTTTTTTAATAATTAAATTAGAACTAAAAAATACTTTTTAAAAATTGCACTTACAGTTTATCAAATTTTTTATAAATGAAAAATTTTTTTTTATTTTGTAATCATTTTTTCAGTAAAAAAAAATTCTAAAAATTTTTAGATGTCGGCTAACTTAATTTTCATCTTTAATTTAATTAAAGAAAGAAAGCCAAAAAATTTTTTAATATCTCTTGATTTCAGTATCATTAACTAATGTATAAATTTAAAATAAAAAATTCTATTACTAATCGACGTTTTTATTCAACAGGCATGTAAAAAAGTTTATTATTCATTATTTAATTCAGAGATACAAATTTATCCAAAAACTGAAGTAAGATTACCACATAAGCAAATAACTAAGAGTAATAGAATGTTATCATTACTGATTGAAAAATTTGACCGCATGAATCAAGAAATATTTGAGGTAAGTAATAATTAAAAAAAAAATTATAAGTGTATGAATTTTTATAAAAATTTATTTTCAGATTCGCGCCGCAAGTGAAACTACATTTTCTTCATTAGTAAATGAAGTACAAAGCCTGAAAATTTCCAATAAAAAAATATCTGATGACAATGATGCATTAGTAAAAGAACTGAAAAAGTTATCTCAAATGTTGGAAGTAGTTCAGTTTAATTCGAAAATTGCTGAAAAACAAGCTTCTGGAGGCATACCACCACCACCGCCGCCTCCACCTCCCCCATTGCCGTTATCTTCGCAGAAAACTCCTAAAAATAATAAAATGCATACTCCAAGAAAATCCTCCATACCACAGATAGAGAAGAGACCCGTTATTACAATGGATGATCTTCTTAAAGTGACATTGCGAAAAGCACCTAAGATTGACAAGGTAATGTTACCATAATTTTTATTATCTTATTTATTGTTAAAAAATGAGGAATAGCTGAGAAATTTTAATTACAGGAAAAACCAAAGGCAGCTTCAGATCCTCAGCCTGTAATATCTTTAGAAATGCTTAAAAATGTCAAGCTTAAATCAATCAAACAACGGAGTCAAAATTATAAAGTAAGATCTCCAATCGGTCTTAAAAATCGCAACAGATTTCAAAATGTAAATCTTTCACCAATTATGGCCGGAGCTGTTAGTCCTTTGAGTAGAATTTTGAGTCGTGGAGAAAGCGTTAGACGAAAACCGAGAAAAATCCTTGTGAGTCCTCGAGAAGATGAAGAAACTCATTAAACAAGTTTCTAATTAAACTTGACAAAACTTGTTCAAAGACGCAGGTTGATTTTTTTTTGAGCAAGCAATTTAACATTCAAAATATTTTTTTTATTGAGACTGAAAGACTTCACTTATTCTAAGATAAAATCAAAGAATTTTTTTATTAAATTATAATAATTTATGTTTATTTTTAAGTAGTTAGAACATCAAAAATGAATTTATAATTTGTTAAATCGTTATTATAAAAATAATTAATTATATTAGATAAGCAATTGTGGTAAATAAAAAATTTTAATAATAATAAGTGGAATATTATTATACTTATTGAAGATTTTAGGTGTTTTTTAAAAATCTATCTGTACTCGAGCGAAAAAATTTCACGTTTTGAAAGAAAAGCTTAAAAAAAAATTTGTTAGATTCTTATAAATCTCTTAAATTTTTTATCGCTGATCTACATCATGGCCATGAGACATTTCTTCCTCACAATATTCAACATTCGTTTCAAGTCTCAATGAATTGTACGTAGGATCAAGAGTGTCATCAATGTTTTTTAGATTTTCTTTTAATATCAATTCTTTTTCAGTAATATTATTTTTAATATTCAATTCTTCAAAGAAGATAAAACAATTACTACTTTTTTCTCTCAAGTACACCCAACAAACACTTTAGAATAATTGTTTTTCGACTGTAAATAAAAGCTAAATTGTTTGACAATTGGTTTCAGCGACTGCATTGAAATCATAGTTATACATTTTGATTAATTAATTCTCCAATATCATTTTTTTGCATGCAGGCAAGATGAAATAGTGTAGCTACAGCATGGTGTTCCTTACTTCATGATTATATCCATAATCCACTAAAAACTCAACAATAGTTGACTACTATACAGCTAAATACAAAAGCGTAAATAATTTTTCGCTACGCGAAATCGGCAGATCTTTTTAGCCCGAAATGCCCAAATAAATCTACAATTCCAATCTATCTATTTTCAGCCGATTTTCGCTAATCTAATGACCATTTTTATTACTGCAACACTCAAGCGATAGAATTTTTTTTAACTCTGGTAACTTGACAAATAAATCACATGAAAATTAATCTAACACATATTTAACAATTTTAAGAATTTTATAACAAATAAATTATAGCAAAAAAAAAGTGAGAAAAAAAATTGACATTTACAAATTTAAAAAAATAAAAAATGCAATTTTTTAAAATTATTTTTTTGGAGTAAATCTTTTTGTTAAATAAAATTAAAAAATTTTCAAGTGACAACTAACTTTGATGTCATATAAATCACCGCTTAAAAAAATTATATGTTTTTAAAATAAACTTGATACTAATATTATTACTAATATTATTACCTGGAAATAATTCGCATATTGTAGTAAAATAAGTAAGTAATGCGTACTTGATTATAAATAGTTAGTCTATTGTAATGAATTGAAATCTTATACCATCTCGTGAGTATCTTTATATTATTAATAAAATGTATATAAAGGGATCCTTTTATTACCTCGACCTGAGATATCATTAGAAATGCTTCAAAATGTCAAGCTTAGGTTAATTAAAAATCTAAACCTCAGTAACGAAAGATAATTATACTCTTAAAACTGGTAATTAATTAAATCTTATCAATCTCTTCTTTCTGGAGAATGTTGAGTCATGGATACTTTGAGGCCTTAATAAAAAAAAAAAATTAATTTTTGAAAATTAAAATTAAACAAGTATTAATTTCGCTTGAATTTATTTTGAAATTACTTATAAAATATTCGTACTAAAAAATATGTACTTTTGTTACTACAAAAACTACATTATTTGAATTACATAAAAAAAATAATTTTTTTTCAATAATATTTTTATTCATAGCATTTATTATACGGCTTTACAGTTTAATTTATTTATTTTCTTGAAATAAATTGCAGTGAAAAATTTATGCTTAATATTTACTGAGAATTCGAAAATAACTTTAAATGTAAAATACGGACTAGTTGATCTCAATATGTATTTTGTCTACAATTATATTTTAAATTCTTAATTATTAATCCTCCATTCTCTTGTAAGAAAACTTCCATCGTATTAATTTTTTATTTTCAATTTATTTTTAAAAAAAAAAAAAAAAAAAAAAAAAAAAAAAGTTATTCTTGTATAGAAAATTATCAATTAATCAATTTATCCTCCTTATTACGTTCTCCAATATAAAAAAAATTATCTAAAATATAATGATAATACTTTTATGACGAGTAATACTAAAAGTATTTTTTCAACAAAAATTTGTTTGTAAATTCTAAAAAAAAAAAACGTCAAATCTAAATAATTTATTTTCATATAACATATTAGTATTTTATTTAAAAAAACTACTTAAGTGGTACTTGAATTTATAATGGAATTATATTGTTACTCATACAATAATCGCAATATTTTAAAAATAAAACACGTACTTAACGTTATACAGAAAAATTTTTTTCCCTCTTCTAAACATTTACTCACTCATTTTTCAATTTATTAAATAAATAAAATGTCACGGGGGGAGATTGAAAAAATTTAAAGAGAAAATAATGGAGGTAAAAGTATATACATTCATAATCGTCAATATAAATGAATTGAAAAGAAGTAATTCTCGACAATCCACAATATATAAAGAGCGATTGATTCATTTATTACCTTTTATACTATACTACTGAATATAATTAAAGCAACTAATTATATGAAAAATAAAAAAAAAAAATTATAGTACAGATTCAGGAGATTTTTATAGTTATTTTTTATTGTATAATTTTTCATTGCTTCTTAAACAATAAGTTATGTTATTAATTTTCAATAAGGTCATGTATACATATTTGAGATTGTTTATTTTTAAAATTCATTTATTGTAGTTGTCGGCATAGGATTTATTTTTTTAATGAGGAAAAAATACAATAAAAAAAAAAAGAAAAACGTTTTATCGTTAATAAAATATGACCAGAAATGTATCTACTTAATATTCGTTCTTTTCTTTACAATTATTCTCACAATTAATAAAAATTTAATATCATCCAAGTGCATCACAATCAATGAGAAGTAGACTTGCGATATAACTATTATAAATCTCACGAAAAATTAGCTTACATAAATATAAATTAAATACCTTTTTGTTTCGGAATATTGAAAAGTAGATGCACAGTTAAAACGAATAAATTGCCCTGTAGTAAGCTCTATTTTCTTATTTTATTTTATTTATTTAATGATTACAGGTGCTAAGCTATACCGACGAGATTGTTTATTTATTGCGATGGGTTTGAGATCCTTAATGCTATTTTTTTTAAATTCCTTTTCGTCGCGATATAATTCATTTTAATTCATGCATCAATTATTTCGTGCCGCTGTTTTTTTTTTTTTAATTTTTTTTCGATATGGGACAACAAACGTTTTGAGAACGTTCACAAAGTATCGCGATTGTTAGTAAGAGGGTTTTGAACGAAAAGAGCAGAGTATTAGTAATCACGATTACTTTTTTTTTTTATCAGTATAATATTTATAATTAATAAAGTATGTGAATTGCGAGAAGGAACATTTTATACAACAATTGGATAATATAATGTATATTATAGAGAGAGATATTTTCATCAAATAAAAAAAAAATAATATATTTAATAATGTAAGTTTTACTCTTTTAAATTTAAATCAATTTTCATACAATGAGTACCATAAAAAATTTCATCGGTTTTATGTTTACATAAAAAATAGAATAAAAAGAACAACTGAAATTATAAAAATTAAACTTTAAAACATATTGAATAATAATTATAATAAAAAATAATAATAATAAATGGTTAAGTAAATCTTCGATATGTAAAAATTTTTAATGTTTCTTCGCGCAAAAACGTCACATCAATAAAAGAGTACATTATACACAATACAATAATAATTATAATTTTGTTTTTTTTATGTACTCAGTAATTATTATTATTATTATTATTATGTTTTTGTATACATGTGCACATATTGTAAATATAGTTGTTAAAAATTTTAACTTACCACAAGATTTATTTTCATTTCCAATTTTTAAATATAGGTTTTGTTTTTTTATAAGGTTGTAATATTAACGAGTTATAACTGTAAGTAACTAAAGATCTCACATTATTTTTTTTATCTCCACCCTCTTTCATAGTCGTTTTAACCCTCCCTCTTTTCTCTTCTTTTCTTCCCACCGCGACATTCAACCCCCTCAATTTTATTTCATTCTTTTTTTCATTTTATTATTATTAATTATTTTTTGTTGGTTTTGTTTGTTTATTTACTTAATTAATAAGAGTTTATTTGTTGTTGTTTTATTTTTATTGTGTCCCAATTGTATGCGCAAATAACACTCACTGAAACTAAAGTTACGATACATCCTGATCGTCTACATCTTGCGTTTGTTCCTTTTGTTCTCCCTCACCTATTGAAATGGAAAAAAAAAAAAAAAAAATTAATAAACAATCATATTATTAATAGAAATAAATTATCTATTATTGAGCATACCAAGCAAGAAGTAGAAGAAATAACAGAGGAAAAATAAAATCAAGGAAGTAGAATAAATTTAAGGATGAGTATTATCATTGTCATCGGATACAGGATTGTCAACATGCAGTAACGGTTGTTCAGTATCAGACTCTGGATTTCAAAGGAATACATCCATATATATATATTTTTTTCAAGGTAATTGAAGAAAATAATAAATGGTAAGGGTAAAAGTTTATTTATAAATTTATCGGAAAGCAATTGAGTATCATACCATCTCCCTGCATGTCCGAGGTCCATAAAGTGAGGTTGTCCCTGAGTAGTTGCATAATGAGGGTAGAATCTTTGTAACTCTCTTCAGATAGAGTATCAAGTTCGGCGATAGCATCATCAAAGGCTGCTTTTGCCAAACGACATGCTCGGTCCGGACTATTCAATATTTCATAATAAAAGACGGAGAAGTTGAGGGCTAATCCTAAACGAATTGGATGAGTGGGAGGGAGTCCTGTCATTGCGATTTCACTCGCTTCTTTGTATGCTATTAAGGATTTCTCAGCGGCTTCTTTCCTGTCAGTGCCAATCGCGAATTCTGCCAGGTAACGGTGATAATCACCCTTCCTAAAAATATATTATTATTATTATTATTTTTTTTTAATCCTTTTTTAGTTAAATATATTCAATACTATTCAACAATAGAAAGCAATAGCTCTATATTTATATTTAGTTCCATTCTATACTTTGTATTGAATTTTAATTTTATAAGCTCGTAGCATCAGAGCTTAATAAAATTCCAATAGAGTGAAACAAAGTGATATCGCTGCTGAAAGGAAACTTTTTATTTTATAATTTCATTAAAAGTTTTCCTTTTAAAAAATTTGTCAACAAAGAAGTAATTGTTTAATTAATGTATAAAAAAAATATATGCATTTATAAATTTCTTACATTTTGTAATAGAAGACTTTGGACTCGCCTGTTGAGGCGCAAGGAATGAGATGCTTATCGAGGACATCGAGTATGTCCGCGCAAATGTCTCTAAGCTCTTTTTCAACTTGAGATCTGTATTGACGAATCATTTCGAGTTTTTCTTCCGCTCCTTTATTCTCTTCTTTTTGTTCAATACTAGAAATTATTCGCCAGGAAGCTCTTCTAGCACCAATAACATTCTTGTATGCAACTGACAGTAAATTTCTTTCCTCAACAGTTAATTCAACGTCCAGTGAAGCAACTTTTTTCATTGCCTCAACCATTTCTGTAATGATAAAAAAAATTTTTACTCAATAATTAATAAAGAAAAAGAAAGTACATAAACAAAATAATAAATTCATTCATCATCCATCCATCAGATATTATTCTATAAAATTGTAGCATTTAACAATGATATATTGTCATTTATTAGTGATTATTATTATTATTATTATTTATTTTTTTTTTATTGAATAGAGCATTTCTTTATGGTTGTAAAGTAAACAAAAGTAAATAAAGTGTAGCGAAATTTATGTAATGAGGCTGAGAATGAGTATAGGTGGTATATAGTAGTTTGTAGAATACAGAAACAGAGGATAGCGGGTGCAGATCAATACTTTCCTTCAGCTATGACCTCCCTTTTTACACCCCACTACCCGTCTCAAGCGCACCCTCTGTCGTCTTTCAGAACCCTCAAATTTAACCCCAACTTTTTTACACCTTTTCATTCTTTTAAATACTACTATTCAAATATTTTTTGAGCCACTTTACGTACTTAACTATTCTTTATCTTTTTTATCTATTTATTTAACAGTAATAATCCTGTTACTTAAATCTAACCATTTATAAAGAATTGCTCAAGTAATTGTTAAAGATTATAATCCTATTTTCTACCTCAATTGTTCCCGTTAATTTTTGTTTTTTAGCATAAAAATATATGTTATTACCGATAAAAAAAAGTATACTTGCTATTAATCAAACGGTCCCATATAAATCTTGTCCACTTTAAATTCCTCAACTAGCAAAAATCAATAAAATACAAGTTATTGTCGAAACTACTTTTTCTTATTTTTGTTCGATAAAATCAACGGTTGCAGTATCTTAATAAATATTAACATAAAAACAGTACTAAAAATCATATTTTTTAGCTGTAAATGATTCAGTTGAAATATACAGTTAAGCGATTTTTACTATTAGAGATATCACAGTAGTTAAATATAGTTATTACTTCTATACTAAAATTGCGACGTAACATATTTATAAAGATGACACGAATAGGGAAAAAAAAAAATCTAAAAATTATAAATATGTCCAAAGTAATTAATTTCTTATCAAAAATATTCAAAAAAATAATTTTTTTTAACTGCTCCTTAATTATCAGTATTGATTAATATTTTAACTGATTGATAAAATATATATAAAAAAATTATTTGAAATATTAAATTAATCATTCGTAATAACAATATAAAATATCTATCACCCAATTACCTGAAATTGTAAATTGAATAATGAAAATAAAATTTTAGGGTTAAAAATGAGTTATAGATAAAAAGGAAAGATTTTTTAAAAATCTTAAAGGCTACTGTGATTTTTCCCATGGTCGATTTCTCAAGGCCGAGGTCAACAGGAAAGGTAAAAAAATAAGGAGAATAGAGAGAGAACGAGATAGAAGATGCGCACAACACGTTACTACGTACATAGTAAACCATGTTGATGAACTGAATATTGAATTGTCCTGCGTCATGAGCCTGGTGATTAACCAAATAACATAGATAGTAGGTTGTACTAGGCTGATGGTTAGATTTTAAAAGTAAAACCTTTCAAGATATCTATCTTAGCTTTAGTATGAGTTGGAGCACGCCGCCTAGCAACGTCGTATCCGAGGAGCTCTTTCGATTCTCTTGTCATGAGTATGTGGTATAGGCTAAGCGACAGAATCAACCGAATAAAGAAGAGAGAAAGCGCTTGAGAAAGAGATAAAGCTAAAGCTGAAGAGAAAGAGTGAGAGAGAGAGAACGTAACTGGGAGCGAGAGAGACAAGTACTGAATGCCACCGAGAACCTTCCATTAATTTATATTATTGCAAAATAATAACTTTTTTTTCTGGATACGTATCACCTAAAATGCCCAAATTATTGATTAGTGTGAAAATTGTTAAAACAATTACCAAAATTGGTTAATTATTTTTAGGTTTATACAGTAATTGTACTTGATGAAATATTATTAGCACGTACACACTTGTGTCCTTGTCATGCACCCTCCTATCTACCCTCGACGCTTTCCGGTATCCTGATCACCATGACTCAATTATTATTAAATATATAATTGCGATAAATAAATAAATTTATAATGTTTAATAGATGATAGTCGAGATAATTATTTTCAATAATATGATCGAGGATGTTATAAATATATTATTGAGCTAAAAAGACATGAAAATAATAAAATAAATGAAAATGTAAAATGTGTGCTCACCATCATAACGCTCCGCCTGTTCGGCAAGCTTTGCCTTGTAGACATTATCCTCACGTTCAGCCATTATTTATATTATTAAATATAAATATGAACGGAAATAAACGACTTGAAATATTACTTGTAAATATATAAATTAATATGTGGTATTACAATGAGGATAGGTTTTGTTATAACTAACAACGGCTTCTCGTACTGCCGCTCGTGAGCTCACTGACCAAGATGGCGGCGCCCGCCAACAATCGAAAGCAGTTCCTGGCTAAGCGCAGAATCCAAACGTTACAAGCGTCAGAGTCAGACCTTCCTTCTTCCACTTTACATCAACTGTATCAACTGTATCGAACAACGACTGTATGGTAAATGGTATTACTACGCGTTAGTATGACGTCACGTTTTATCCAAAAGAATCCAGGGATGATAGAATGGAAACACCTGCCCCGGTCTCCTACTCTTTTATCTAAAACTTATTTTGTTATATTCTTTATTCTACATTTTTAATTAACTATTTTTTTATTTTATTATTATATTTTATATGGTAGTTTTATTTTACTTACTGCAATTACTTGCGCAGAACGGTGACTACTTTTTATTTAAATAATCATTAGTTTAATTATCACAAATACCAACTTTTATTTTTATCGTGAAGTAAATACCCATAATTCCATACTTCAGTTTTATGCACAACTTGAAAAAATACCCATATTTTTTCTGGCGGGTTTTTTTGAAAATTTTTTTATCGATCTTTTTTATTAATTATTAATTTAAAAGATTTATATTTTTTATTAATTGGTATTTTAAATAATTTCTTATTAATAGTTTTAAATTAAAAAAAAAAAATGAATTATAATTAATGAAAATTAAGTTAGCTGACATTTAAAAATTTTTAGAATTTTTTTTTATTGAAAAAATTATTGCAAAATAATTAAAAAAAAATTTCATTTGTAAAAAACTTGAAAAACTCTAAGTGCAATTAAAAAGAAATATTTTTTAGTTCTAATTTAATAATTAAAAAAAATTAAAAACGTCGGCTAACTTTAGTGTTATTTATAATTATGATAAATTTTTTTTTAATATCAATCTAATATTTTCACTGATACTGAAAATATCAATTATTAGAAAATTGATATAAATTTACAAATTACTTGCTATTAATAATTAAAAAATTGTCAAAAGACTGAATTTTTATTTCAGTACTTGTATTTATCTTAAAACACTTACTTCATAAAATTTATTGAAAATTAATGTAAAAACACTCGATTTTTATTCAAAAATATTTTTAAATAAATACAAACATATCATGCACAATTATTAATATTGGATCAAATTGCTGTCAGAATTTTATTTATAAATTATTTTGAGCAAAAAAAATTTCCTAGTATTCTGTCAGATCAAATCACGTGTAATCGTTAAAGTAACGCTAGCTGACATGTGAGTATAAATATTTGTGCATTATACATTTGTTATAAAGGTAATATAGGTAATTAATTTTAATAAAAAAAATTAATAATAATTGTGTAATATGCAACTGTATTATTTGTAAAAATATTGTAAATGACTGATACAGAAAGCAATAAAATTTTAGGCAACTGAATTCTCTGCTGAATAGATTTAAAATATTACTTATCACGCAATTGTTTTTACTTGTAATCACTGTACATATGTAGGTTGTATTAATTTTGTAGTAGCAAGTTATTGATCGTATTGTTATTCATATTGGCAAAGCATATTGTCAACTATTTTTTGTGATTGATTTCGTTGGACAGATAGCTGCAGATTTATTGTAACAAAAACCTTTTTTAATTTTGATTTTTATACATATAAATTTTTTTCTTTAATAAGTTAATGTCATTCTATATAAAAAATCATAACAATTATCTGATGTATTTGTTAAACATTGTACATTGTCCCAGTCGTTTATTTCACACTTTTAAAAATAAATAATTATAGAAAAAACAAAAAATCTTTTGTAACAAAAAAAAACTATTTGATTTGTAATCTATCTAAATATTTTTTTTTCTTTGACCAGTTGGCATTCAGAGTAATTTGAGAAATTGATATATTATTATTGATTACCTTTCCTTATTTATTTAAATATTTATTCAACTGAAAACCGTAGGCACTTATGATGAACTAATAAATTTAGTCTGTAAAAGATATCGCTGAATATTTTTTTCTACTTTACATTTTCAGGTTGTAATTTTTTTTCTTTTAACTCAAATACTGATTTTATACTTGTGCTTTAGTCATAATTTTACAATAACAGTTTAATAACATAAAATGACTTACAATTACACTGCATTGTCTTGGTTTTTCTTTTCAAATTTAGCTGAATAGTTTAAATAACAATTTACAATAAAATTAATAAATTTGCATCAATTAAATATTCTACAAAAGCATTAACATTTAAATTGCGTTGGATAATTATCTCTTAGACGATAGTTTTCTACATCATTTTATTAATTTTCTTTTATTTTTTCAATTTACTTTATTTATTTATTTATATTGTGTACATAAAATGTATCTTTGTTATCGATAATGAATTATTAAAATTATGATACAGATCAATAGTTATTACGATTGTAAATAATAAATCATAGACCACTGTTTTCACTTAATTTTTTGAAACTCTGATCTTTTGTTTATTTTTTCTTCTTTTCATAAGAATAAGCGAGTATTTAATATAAACATATTATTATTATTATTATTAACTGAATAAACAAAGTGAATAAATCGAGCGCAGTCTATCAACTGTGAGAATATACAATTTTTTTTTTTCAATTTATATATTAATTGATATGCACATACACTGATTAGTGATTAGGTCTTACGTATGTCGTGCATATGTATATATATATATCTATATCAATCAATGATTTATAAATATTAATAGGCAAATATATATTATAAATTTCTACATTATGTCGTGTACAGAACTTTGAAAGTTTTATTAAATGAATATCTTGGAAGTTCGTATAGTGTATTTTATTTAATTAATTCGTTTTTCCTCACCCATTTATCGCACTCACACATACAGTTATTTTTTATACTAACTTACTCATTCAATCATTTACTCAAATAGTTATTTATTATTAATCATCAACGACTTCGATTAATGGCAATTGTTTCAATTACTATATATAAATTTATATAAACAAGAAAAAAGATTAAAAGCTTTTTTATAATAAAAAAATTTTTTTGTAAAATTTTAAAAAGAAAATCAAGCTCTTTGATATAATATGATAAATCAAATATTAATAATTGTCAATGATTGAATAAAATTTGATTAATAACAAAATAAGCTTATTACTATTTTTATAAATACTTGCCAAATGTATTTTCATCTCTAAAATAAATTGTATTTATTATAGTTCTTGGAAGTTTAATCGCAAGTACATAACCATAAATAATTAATAATAATTATAATTATGTTAAAATATACTTGGACATCGTGACCAGTCACCTTTATTTTTACATTCCCAATATTCATGGTTGTAAGTATGACATAAGCTACCCGTAATCTTGTCTTCCTGTTTTGAAAACCATACTGGTTCATAAGCAGTATATGGCAATCCTAAAATACAAAATATATTCAAAATTATTTGTGTCTCTGACTCATTTTATCACAGATAAAGTTTAAAAAAATATTTTTATATACCTTCAGCAGCTGCTTTTTCAGCTTCACTTTCACGTGCTCGTCGTACTGCTCTTTGTTTCTCTTCGAGGCGTAATTTTTCTTTATTGGCTTCATCCCAGTGCCCATTTTCCATTAACCTTTGATCAGGTCTGATCCGCGAATCTGTTGGTGCTACACCGTCTTCAGGTTCATTTAATTGACAGGCTAACTCAGTAAATGAATAATATTTTTCACAATCATCTCTGCAATAAAAAATATACTTTAAATTAATAAGAATAACTCCCAAATGGGATATTTTTCGTAGATAAAAATAAAACTTACGGAGGCATACGTCGTTTCCAAGCAAGAGTGTATGGACCTGTTTTGTAAATTGGATTATCTGGACTACCAGAAGTACTTATAACAGGTGCAATTTCAATTTTTGAATCCCAAGTACCCTGAACAACCCATTTAACTTCTTTGTCAGCATTCATAACAACACCTTTAACCTTTCGTTGACTATCACGTGAAAAATATGAGTACGGAATGTACTTAAGGTGACATTTAGTACCGTCAGTATGATTAATAATATCCATGTCACCGCTTTGATCTACCCATAGTTTACCTACAATAATATTGTGCACAGTGGTAGTAACTTTTCGCCACGTGTAATGAGGACACTTGTCTCCTATTTTGTTGTTGAACTCTAAATGTGCAGTACCCAAAGGTATTACCTAAATGATATTAATATTCATCAGTTTGTCAAATTTATTTACATTCTTTATACAGTCAGGCTTGTTTTACTTACTTGAAGATATTTACCACGGAATTTGGAAGCCATAGTAAATTCCTGCCAGCATTGCCACGCTCGACCTTCACAAAATTGAGCAACCATTGGAGGATGATGTGATACTTGTTCCGATATTGCCCGCCATCCAAGATCTTCTGTTCGATCACATTCATACGTTTCACCTAAAAGAGGGTTGAAAGGTTTACCAGTTCTAGATGCAGTTGTTGAGTAACTGGAAACGGTAAAAGCAGCAACGTATGCCATTTGTTCACAAGCGTCTGTACATTCAGCTGCTCTGTTATAAAAATAAAATAATTTAAATTAAATTTATTGAACACATAAAATTGATAATTATATTCTTAATTAAGAAAAATACCTGTCAAGGATTTCGGCATATTCATAATCTTCAGTTAAACGCTGTAGCATACTAAGAGGCTCAGAAAAGTTAACAGGCATCGGTATTTTCGACAATTCTTTACCAATACAGTTTTTCATAATGCTCCATAAATTTAATGGATAATTTGGTTTTTCAGGTACCCGGGTTCTTCGGATTCGTTTACTTACAGTCTTCATCCCGGTATTATTGCCATCATTATCACTTTTCCAATCCGACTAAAAGTCAAAAACAACATTGTAATTTACACTCAAGTACACTGAGAAAAAAAAGTACTACTCTTGAGAAAATTTTCTTGTCATGAGAATATATATTCTTGATAATTATTTAACAATATATTTTCTTGTCTCAAGAATTGATCGAATTAATCAAATTATTTTTTTGTTTAATTCAAGTGAACCTATCCGTTTGTTAATCTATCAAAATTAATGCCAATATTTTATTATCATAATAGATATTGATATTCTTTTTTCAAAAAACCAAAATTTATTTTAAACGATTCTTGAGCCAAGAAATTTTTTTCTGGACAAAAAAATTTTTTTTTTTCTCAGTGTAGAAAACAAAATATAAATTAAAAAATCATAAAGTAAGCATTTACATTGTCCAGATCGGCAGTATTTCTGGATGCTTGTGGCAATACTGAAGAATCGGTCACGATGTGGAACGAATCGGTTCGGGATGGATCGTTGGCAGACATTGGTGCTGGATCTCCTTCAGAACTAGATCCATCATCACTCCCTTGTGAATCGTTTCGAGCACGTTCACGTGACAGTGAGTTACCGGTTGTACTGCCAGGAATAGCTAGTGTGAATGTGTCAGACTCTTCGGCATCATAAAATTCTACATTGTCTTCGTCGTCCTCTGATGGTGAAGTATTTGCCACTGAATCTATGTGCAATTAATCAATTAAATGTTATTATTTAAACATATAAATATTATACATGTATATGTTAAAAGAAAAATACGGTATTTTGATTTTAAATAGATAAGCAATAAACTTAATTGGTTAACTAACACGTCATTTATAAAAAAAATATATATAATCAAGTAGTTATATCCTTATTAGGAAAATAATTAAATTTTTTTCAAACTCTAATTTCATTGAAACACTTTAAATTTAATTGCTATAAGTAGAATATAAAATAACAAAAAATGATGATCATGATGTAAAATTTTCTATTGTTTTCTATAAGCATGTAGTAAACGATTATTTAATTGAATTCTATCGGTAATAAAAAAAATCTAGTTCAGACATTTTGTTTCCCACTAATAAAATCTATGTAGGTTATTTATAAAAGCTAATTAAATTAATCATAGCTATTTGTTTAATCAAATTACATAAAAATGTTATGAAATAATACTGGTAATAAAAAATTTTGCTTGTTAAACAATTAAATGTTTGTCAAACCTAGCTTGTAATTGTTTTTGTACTTGAAACTTGTTTTATATTACTAGTAAGATTTTTATGAAGATAACCACAAATAGTAAGTATAAGTTGGCTCGAGTTAGATTTGTCTCTTTACTCACTTCGGTTCACTTCTGTGATTGGTTTATTTAGTCTCGACATATATAACAATAGCTACATGTATGTTACAACATGCATTAATAATCATACGGATAACACCTACATATGTTAGTCAGATAAGGTTAGTACTGTACAGTATTTAAGTATTTGAGTAAATAAACCAATGACAGAAGTTTAACATAAATAAGAAACATATAGTGTATCATCGTAAGATAAAACTCACAATGATACTCCAAAAAAAAATAACACGAAAATGTTCCCCTCTCAATGGCATTGTAAGTGTGCTATCTCATGTTGTTTCGCGGATTGTAAATGCTGACGCGCTACCGCGAAAATTCGAATGATCTCTTCAAAGTAATTATAATTTTTTTAATATTAAATCAATCATCAAAATGAATCGTTTCAGCTGTATTGTAAATATTGTGAATAATTATTACGTGTTGATCGATGATTTCCTGCAGGTATTCCAGGTGGTAAAGCATGTTGTGCAGCCTCTTCTAGATGAGAATGTTGACGTGCTAGTTGTTCAACCATTTTTTCTATTCGTACCTTTTGATCTCGTTCATGTTGGAGCATTTTTTTCCATTTTGGTTCTTGTTGTTGGGCCAATTGAAGATAATCATTACTCGTCTACATCATTCAAGTTAATTATATTATTATTATTATTATTATTATTATCATCATTTTATCATGAAGTAGTAGCCTCAATAATCATTTAATGCAAAAAAAGTTACATAATAAAAATTCACATATACTTTTCAACACTAGCATTGAAGCACAGTTAAATAATAGTCGCGTGCTTTTAAACAAACTCCAAATTACTGTAAATTAAAAAAAAATAAAAAAGAAGTAATGCTGTGTATTCAAATAATAATAATAAAACTATTTTACTCAAATATTCTTCCGATACTAATGTTAAATAACTTTGACCAAAGCTTTTATTGTTACAAACTATTGGACATGTGACAGCTAAAAAGACATTAATTTAAATATTGAATATATACGTAGCTTTCCGAATTTAGTCGAAAGAAATTAATTTTCAGGCATTACTTTACTTCTAATTTATATTGTAGAAATGAATTTTTTATCATAGCTCAACATTATTTATATATATCACAGTAATAATAGCGTAAAATTAACTACTGCAGGTGCTGAAAGATTGAAAAGCAGACATAATAATAGAACTTACACTTATCATTGCATTAGCAGCAATACGAAATAATGTAGCACGTTCACTGACAGTTTTTATTTTCGAAGCAGTATCTGGACTCGCTGATTCAAGTGATTCTAGATCTACCAAAGATCTCGTCAAGAGGGTGCCACGTTTAGATATAAGTTCGTAGCAAGTTTGTAAATCCTTCAACCGCTCAGTCAGGTCTTTAATTATTGATGTATTCTCTCCTTTCTGATTGTCATTGTCTTGGTATTCTTCCTCCTCTTCTTCTGAAACGAAGCGATGCTCTCATGAAGTGAGATTTGTCCTTCTCCGCTAAGTACTAATTTATACATTTATTTATGGACTTTAATTTAACGTTTTATTAAACGTTTTTTAATATATTTAAATTTAAATTAAATCAACTAACTTGTCTTATTTTTTATTATTTTTAGGTAAAGAGAATATTTAATTATCAAACCTGACTCCATGGCTTGTATTGCTTTAGCTTTGGCTAATTCTAAAGCAGTAACCCATTGTTGTCTTTCCACCTCAGTCGCCGCTTTTATGTGAAATGTTTGAGTACCACCGTTGCTTACAACGAAAGTACATGCATCCACAGTGTGAATTAAGGCCCCATGAAGTGATATAGCCCCTCTGCATGTGTGAGCCATTTCGGCAGGGTTCCTAAACAAACCATATGAACACACGAGTTTCTCTATGCTACTCGCCCAAGTTATATCCAAAAGTATAGAAAACTAGTTACACAGTCAACACATATTCACATGTTACTATTTTTATTAATTACACAATAAATATTTTTTTAAATTTCTTTTAAATAAATAAATAAATAAATAAATTAAATATCAAATTATTTTTTTATTAATATATGTTCACTTGTGACTAGAATTATAATTTAAATATAAATTTATAACTGAACAAAATGGATATTTTATAATTAAAAAAAAAAAAAAAAACTACTTGTAAAATAAAAAAATACAAATCTCGTAGAAATACAACTGTGCTGTGTTAATAATGTAATTAAGTAGTGCTGTTTCAACTCCATGCATTAAATATTGATAATTCATTAGACTATACTCATGTATTTTATTTTTTTTTTTACTTATACTTAAAATTTTTGAGTGTTTGTTTGAAATAAAAAAGTTGCGTTTAAGTATGTCAAACTATAAAGTTTAAACTTTACAAACTATGCGAGGGATGAACTGTTATTAATTAAATTAATTTATGAACAAAAAATTTGTACAATAGGTGTGATATATAATGTGATGTGTGCACGCATGCATATCCTAAAAAATAATTTATCACCACATAAATATTTACATAACTGATAATGTTTAAAAGTTAAAAAGGTGTAGTTTTGGTAAAAATATTTTTAACTTTACTTTAACGAAATAATAAACAGCGAACGTCTGGTGATTTAAGTAAATGTAAATGAAATTATATAAAATTTAATAAATATCTAGATTTATATTTACAAATGATAGAAATAACTTGAGCCCCAAAGTTATTCGAATAACTATATAATATAGATTTTAATATATATACATAACATTATGCAACTAATGGGCAAATCAAACGCCAAAATAATTGGGCTTTTGTACAAATAGCTTGAAAGCGTATTAAAGATTAATTTTTTTATTTTTTCTAATAATTTTTTTTTTTTTTTAATATGATTTGAATAAAAATATTTATAATTTGTGAATTTTAAAACAGAAAAGAGGCGAAAAAATAATAATAAAATTAAAAAATACTCAGTAAAAAAATTGGGTTTCCAAGCAATAATAAGTGAATATTGAAGAATAAACATCCATTACCATACTTATGGAAGATTAAACAAATGAAATCCAATTAAGAAATATCAAATCGAATTTTGAAATTCCTATTTTTAAAAAATGTTTGTTGTTTTTTCTTTTTTTTTTTTTTTATTCTTTTTTTGGTATTTTTTACTTACTCGGAGGCACTGCCAGCCCTCCGCTTGCGTCGTGTCGAAATCTTTGGCCCCCCCTTTGGTTCAGCCCTAAACAATTCATAAAACAAATAGGCCCACATTCACTTTGTACTAATTTTGCTTCATTTTTTTTTAGTTAGCTAAACAAAATTTAGTTTCATAAATGTATGAACAAAATTTTGAAAACTTTAAGGTTTATTTTTGCTAATATGATTATTATTTTCATAATATTTAGGAGAGATGGTGATAAACAATTGTAAATGATAATGCTACGCTCTAAATTTTATTTTACAAATTATAATTTGTTAGTCAACGAAAAATTTTACTTTCATCTATATAAACGTTTTTAATTTATTAATTTTTTACTACCGTACTTGTAATAAGATGACTTCAATTCATTATAATTGACATAAATAGTTGTTGACTTTTTGTCATTTATTAAATTAAAATTGACATTGTTAACATTGCAATTTAACGCATTTATTGACAGGTTTTTTATACAATAAAAAAATAGATAACAAGAATGTTATCAGCAAGTACATACAATTTTTTTTATCATTTGTTGATTATTTAATTTTGAAATTCAATATGTTTACTTCATAAATTTGATTCTATACCTTTAGGATTTTGTCATATATTTTAATTCATGTTTCATGGTTTTTTTGTACTCTAAATTTGTAAACTCTTTATATTTACATGAATAATTTATAATAAAATTTTTATCTAATACTTTAGAGTGACGAAATTTTATTTACATAAATAATTTGAATTTAAAAATGAACCTGTGAAATATTCAAATAATTTTTTTTAATATTTTAGTTACAGTAGTAAAAATTTAACATCAATTTAAAAAATAAATATTCGAAGAATAAAAAAAAATGACAGAACAAGTGTTAAAAGTAAAATACTTAAATAATATATATAGATGAAAAAATATACGTTAAAAATAGAACATTACGCAGCAATGATATTGAAACACAGTTGAGAAGATTAATTAACAATAATTAAATACCCAGAGAGAAAATAATAGCCATTGAAATGAGTATTTAGTGAGACAACAACTCTATTAGCATCCATTGAACTATATTAGTAATAAGCAACCAATAATCTTCCAGATGGAGTAATTTGTAGCCCTAAAATAAACTTAGAAAAAAAATGAAATACCCGATAAATAACAAAAAATCACCCAGACAATAAAAACATAATTAATTGTAAAAAAGGGTATAAATTAAAAATTATAAGGAGCTATTAAATTAAGTAAAGACTAAAGACCTACAATCTGCAAAATTACTGAATAATAAATAAATGAAACATTTATATATAATTAATAAATACTATGACAGATGTTTTAATAATGAAAACTGTGTTTATATTATGCAAAAACACAGTAGTTTATATTTACTAACATGAAGGTCATTGAAACTTGTGTTAGAATGTAAAATATCAGGAGGTTAATGAATATTATTTGGCACAATAATTAGCATGTACAATAGACATTAAAGAAAAAATCATAATATAAATATGATGATGCCAGAGATTTGTGAAATGACAAAGCATATTACAATAAATAATTATTGATAATTAATAAAAATACCTATAGTATGACAAGAGGCCATTTGACAGGACGAACCACCTCCGTTGGTAACCTTTCAGATAATTAGTCCACTTAAAAAGCCAACCCTTCATTTCTTGAGCGCCATGTTGTGGCTTAGCTTCACCCATTCTTAACAAATAATTTATTTGTTTTTATTTATTTTTTATTTTTTATTATTTTATAGATTGTAAATAAACGGCCACACTTTAACACGTTAATAATCGGACCACAATATCCACGTCGACATCATCCGTTATACGCTGTCGCCGTAGTCGCCATTTTGAACGTCAACATTTATATACACATCATCTATACCTATATGTTTTTAAATTGCTAGGTGAAAACATAAGTACAAACAACAAAAATAATAAAAACTATGTCATGTCGATGTCATCTATAGTAGTTTCTGAAGATCGGTCGGTATTTGTTTATCAAAACGCCTTTTTTATCAATTGTTAATATACTGCCATCAGTGTTTTTTATATTTTATACGCGCGTTTTTTTTTTCTTTAAATAAATTCATTCAGCAATGATACCTTATTTTAAAATTGACAGACAATTTTTTTATCAAGATAATATTTTTAAAAATTGACATGTTGAAATTCTAAAAAACTGTAAATGATACTAAAATTAATGAAAATTAAGTAAGCCGACATTTAAAAATTTTTAGAATTTTTTTTTATTGAAAAAATGATTTAAAAAAAAATTTCACTCGTAAAAAATTTTAAAAACTGTAAGTGCAATTTAAAAAAAATATTTTGTTCAAATTTAACTATTAAAAAAAAAATGAAAATATTAAATATTATCTAAAATTAGCCAACGTTCAACAATTTTTTATTTTTTTCATAAATTAAATTACAAGTAAAAAATACTCAAAAAAAAATTACACGTATAATTTTTCAAATCTCCAGCACGTGAAATTTTTTCGTAATAATTTTTTCAATAAAAAAAAATTATAAAAATTTTCAGTTGTCGACTAATTTAATTTTTATAAACTAAAAATTGAATTTTTTAAATAGCTTTTTTTAGTACTCATTCATTTTTAACTACAATTTCATCGAAACGCTCAAAATTTCATAAGAGATTTAACGATTGTTACTGCAAGAAAATCTAAATTTATTTCATTGTTTTGGATACATATACCATTGAAGTTTAGCTTTCAATAGCCTATCAAATATATATTAATTCTTTATTTTAAATGAACACTTTGAGACAGAAAAGAAAATAAACTCAATCAATAAACCATTATTTCACATTAATATATTTTGCAATATTTCATATTTGATTTATCATTTTTATTTCTGGAAAAAATTATTTTACATTACATTAAAAAATTCTTAAGAACTCGTAGATATTTCTCGTTCTGTGTTTACTTCTCATCTCTTGAAGTTTGTACAGATATAATTTATTGTCCAGTATATTCCACAAAAAAATCATCAAGAGCCTTTTTTTGCAGTAAGTGCTTAGGAGTTTTTTTGTTGAAAAAAAAAAAAAAATTATTTTATTAAACAAAGTATTATCGTAAAACATTAGCTCTTTTAAGATAATTCAGTAACCTGGAAGATGATACTGAAATCAACAGATATCTGTAAATTTTTGGGATTTTTATAATGATGAAATTATGATGAAATAATTTTAATAAAAAAATTCCAGATCTAAAAATTAAAAAAAATTACAAGTGTAAATTTTTAAAAAACATTTTTATTTATAATTAATCTGTAATAAAAACAAAGAAAAATTTTAGTGTCATCCGGGAAGATGTATTTTAAAAAGTTTTAGATGCACATTTTTCAATTAAAAATTTATCCCTTGCTCTAATAATAAAAAATTCAAGTAACTTTCAGAAGTCTTCTGATGAGCTTAGTGTCAAAACACCTGGTTTAGTATTCAGAAAAATTTTAGCTCGTCGTTCTTATTAATAAGCGGCTTCTGAGAAATAGATAAAATAAGTGTTGTCAATTCTTAAATCTTAGAAAATCTATCAAAAGTATATAATGCATAAAAATATAGATCCTTACCGGATGTTTGGTATGATGTACACGTACATACTCTGGACGCAACGTCATACGTGCATGCAATGATTATATAAGACTCAAATCATTTTTCAAATTTTATAAGGATATTTTTTAATAAACATCTTTTTTTATACTTTGTTAGTAGCGTTACATCTTATCGCTAATTTTATAGCAAGAAATTTATTTATATTCCAAATGATAAAACAAATTCGTGTAAAAAAATTACGTACCAATAATTAAAAATTAGTAAAAATGTTTCTACCGCTTAATTTAATAAATATCCAAATTTTTAAACTTAAAACTTATTCTTCTCGTTTGAAGTTGCGGTGAAATAAAATTATGTTGAGTAATTTTTTATTAAATTAAATTATTTTGTTTTATCTTTAGGAATTCAAATAAATAAGTCAGATGTATCCATGAGAATTAATTTAAAAATTATTATGTTACAATATAATATTTACTAGACATACAATCTTTATAATGTTAATGTATCAAATAAATAGACTGGTCATGCCGATAATTCAGTATTGCATCACAATACTAATTCCATCAAACATATGAAAGTTGAATATTCTACGCCTACAATAAATTTCATACTTGAATTATTGTATCATAAATTTTCCTGTTTTTCTTCTTAAAAAATATTTCTTCACATCGAATTTTGATATGATTTTTTTGCAATAAAAAAATGCGGATTAACGCAGACCATAACATGTTAACTGGCGACAGATAAAAAAAAACTATTAGATAAAATAGTTATGAAAATTAATTTAGCAGATATTTAATTATTTTTAAAATTTTTGTAACAAATAAATTATGGCAAAAAAAACTAGAAAAAAAAAGAAATTGACATGTAAAAATTAAAAAAAATTGAAAATCCAATTTTTTTTAAATAATTTTTTGGATCAAACTTATGAGTTAAAAAAAATTAAAAAATAATCAAGCGACTGGTAACTTTAATGTTATAAATAGTTTTGTAATGAATGTTAATATCATTGACCTTAGACTTGTACTATAAGTTGTAATGATAAAACAATCAAAGTCAAATACCTGAGAAGAAATTTAGCAGGTAAAAAAATGTCTTGCATCACCTATTCTGCAAATTGCTTAAGATCGTTGGCTACAAGTATGGTAAGAATATATGAGCAAGGAAAACGCTCACTTAGAAATTGTACATATAGCCGGTTATTATGCGGCTGATATGACTCCAAGGCAATTAATGCTATTGTTATGATTTCCTCTGGGTAGGGAGTACAGTGTGTTACTTTTCATGCTGCCTACATGACAGTAAGCATTGAGAGTGAGTGCGGAGACTCAAAATTCAGTTACCGGTCAACATTCTGCAGCACTGCTATCGTTATCTTTAAATAGACAGCATTGCTTAAGTGTCACAATGAATTGTTTGTCTTATTGTGATCAGTGGCTGTATTTTATAAATTTCCCAAATAGCCCAGATTTTAACAAGTGATTACAAATTAATGTGCAAATGAATTATTTTATTTAATAGAGCGAATGTGATTTGAAATCTTATCTCACAGAGATTGATAAAACAGTCGATCTTGTTATCTATCATATCAAATACTTTTAAAATATAACAGAAGGATTTATGTTTAAAAAAAAGAGAAGAAAAATAATTATCAATTAAAGTTAACAAGGTTTACGATTATACGATGAGATATTAACAATACATAAAATAATAATTACAATGTCGAGTGACCATTCGAGTAATTACTTAAGTAATAAAGATCTAACGAGTACCGCTGAGATGAGCCCGAATAATTCCGAGACTGGAATAGTAATAAATAGTAGTGATAAACGAGGACGTATTAATGAAGAAACAGTCAGTGGTAAATGCAGTAAGTCAACGCAAATCGATTTTTGGCAGATGAATTGGAGACAAACGCCAAGTTATAATCAAGTCTCGAGAAATAGGCCACTTTCAGCTGGATTTTTATCTAAATCACACTTATACAGCAATTCTAATTGCTCTATTGGCAATAGTTCCAAAAGTTTATTGTATTCTTCCCAAAGTGAAGTTACTTTGTCGCCATTAAAGTCTCCGAAAGTTGGTAATAATAATAATTCCGGTAAATTTGTTGCAATAGATATTGCTAAAATATCTAATTCACCTTTCACTACTACTTCGTCATACTCAACCAATAATTTGTCTGCTAATCATTCTTATTGTGCTAATTGCTGTAATTGTAATTATAATAATGGAATGTCTAGTCATTCACCAAATTTACAACAAAATGAATCGGAAGGTCCTCAAGGGTTATCGTGGCGAAGACTTCATATGAGTCGAGCTAAACTAAAAGCTACTGCTACTACTTCAGAATTACTCAGTGGATTTGCTATGGTTTGTTTATGATTATAATTTTTATTATTATTACTTTTATTTCAAATAATTTACCAACATATTGCTGCAATTAAAATTCACTGCAAATTGTTATTTTTTTATGAGCTACTATTAAAAAATAATTAATAAATTGCCGTAATTTACTAGGTAACAATATAAATTTAAAAAATATGTTGGGATTAAAATTATTTTCATATAATTCACAGAATAAAAAAATAATTAATGTCATTAATTATAAAAAAAAAAAAAATAAATAATAATACTGGCTTGACAAAGGTATTTTTTCATGTTAGTTTGATTATGAGAGGTGTTTCCTGAATTATCCAATTAATTGTCCAAGTCGCGAATAATTCTGATATGACTATATGGAGTTATGAGTATATTACTAATTGACGATTAGATCAAAAATTACATAAGGCAAAGACAAACAATAAATACAATTTTTTTCACGTATCATCTTATTAATTACACGAAAAAATTAATGTTTGTTTTTTCTTCACAGTACTGTGGTTTAATCAGAATTTCTTATAATATAAGAATTGCGATAATAATCTTATTCATCAAAGTTATTTTTTTCATTGGAACTTCTTCAAGGATTAATGAGATATAATAAATTTTTTAAATTATAGCATAAGATTATGGAAAAATTTAGAAATAAAATTTAAAGATTTATTGAAATTTTAATAATAGTATGTAAATTATTACGTCAGTATTAATTATGGATATTCTTTGTCACTTAGTATTGCATCAATAATTTATCCAATAAGATAAGAAAATCGAATAAGTGAGCATCGTAAACGCCGGTGAATAACTCTTAAGTCTTCTTTAAACTTCTTTTATATTATAATGAATAATTAAAATATTTAACTTCGCATTTCATGGAAAAAATTACAATAATAATAATAAATATGTATTGATTAAAAATTCTTTGTTCTAGGTAGCAATGGTTGAACTTCAAATAAACGAACCGACAGAAGTTCCTGAATGGCTTTTTGTAATGTTCGCTGTCTGTACAACAGTATTAGTATCCGTACATATTTTTGCATTAATGATAAGCACTTATTTATTACCAAACATTGAAGCTATTAGTAAACTTCAAATATCACGTTTAATAACGGAGTCGCCTCATGAACGAATGAGAGGGTTTATTGAATTAGCCTGGGCATTTTCAACGGTCCTTGGACTATTTCTATTTCTCGTTGAAATTGCAATATTGTGCTGGGTTAAATTTTGGGATTATTCATTTATGGCCGCGATGGCTAGTACCATTATTGTAATTCCTGTATTAATTGTATTTGTTGCGTTTGCCGTACATTTTTATCACTCATTAGTTGTTTTCAAGTGCGAAGCGTCTGTGACTGATATGGAAGAACTAGAGAGTATTAAAAAACATTTAGATAATGTTGCTGTTAATCAAAGTTCTGTTTGATTAATTTAATAAGTAATCAAAGATTTACAGAGGATAAAAGACAACTTCAAACAAATAAGTATATTGAGTCACTTTAAATTGTTTATAATTCCAAACAAAACTTTGAAAAACTCGGTTCGACCTTCATTTAACAATGTAAATTAATTAAATAATTCATAAAAAAACATATTGTTTGAACATATTGGTGCGCTTTTCTCCTCAATTTCTTTAACAATTAATCATTATAGCTTAATTTGTTCCATATTAATTTAATTATGACTAATTTGATAATTAATATAATTATGACAGTAAGAAAATATAAGACAAGGATATTAGATGTTAATAATACATGATTCGCGTTGAAACGTGAACGTGATTTATTTGTTCTTTTTTTTATATATATAAAAAAAATGTACATGGCTGTAAACATGCAATTTTTGAGTTGCAACAGCACAAGCAAGTGCCCTTACAGTAGTTATTAATTAATAATTATAATTTAATAATAATTAATTATATTATTGTTAACGATGTATTCGTTCAATGGTTTTTATTATTTTTTTTTTCTATTTTATGTCTTTGTTCATGACTCTTTAATTTTTACTCGGTTTACGATTTAATATAAAGCAATAAAATCAAACTTTTATACTTTTTAATTAGTTTAACAATTTTTATATATTATAAGTAGTGGATATTTTAAATATACTCAAATTATAATAGATTTTTATTTTATACTGATCTTATTCAATATAATACTATTACAGTGTATGAGATTGTTAAATGGTGAATTTTGTGGTAAACCGAGAAAATTTATAGATCCTAAAGTAATCAATACTGTGTACAAAGAATAATTATTACATAGTTTTAGTTGTATAAAAACGATATTCTGTGGCAAGGAAATTTTTTTAATTACAAAAATTTATTTTTAACCATGTAATTTAGTGATTCACGTACAACAAATTTTATTTAATTATAAATAAAAAATTATTAGTCATAGTAAAAAAAAAATTTTATTTCAGCTACTTGGTAGTTATAATTTTTTTTTTTAACGTATTTCTTCAAATAATAATAAATAGAATAAAATAAAAAACTATATTTAATTTATAAAACATTCGTATATTTATAAATTTCTTGTTATTTATTATTAATGCGACGGAATTACACTGCATGAAATATCAATTGAACATTATGATATAAATAGAATAAATTCTCAATGAAAAATAAAATCAAATGTTAAAATGAATTTAAATGATTGAAGTGGCTTGGAATGAGAAATGAAAAAAAAAGCTTTATGTTAAAAATTAATTGAATTTATCATTATTAGTAATTATTGCCTAAAAAATCAATAAAGTATTATTGTCAAATGGAAGAAACTTTAAATAAAAATATATAATAAAAATTCCGTCTGCATTGTATTTAAAAATAAAACATTAAATTAATCAAGATTGTTTTTATCGATAAATTACTTATCAGTATTCGCTAGCAGTATTTTTTAATTAGATTAAAAAAAACTTAGGCAGAGAGTTGCTTAATTTTCCTACGATTAAAAATAAAATTTGTTCATGTGGCTGCAAAATTTTTAAATATAAATTAAATAATCAACAAATTCAAGTCAAACAACATAGACAACATAATTTAAAGAATTTTCTATTTCTTAAATTTTATTATACTTTTTTTTTTAATAATTCTTTAAGATACAAACGAAAAATGTTTCGGCACATTTATTTATTTTTTTTTTTATCTCAGAATAATCACCAAATTCTTCATTAAAAGAATTACCAAAACTTTAAGTGTAATTAAACACTAAAGAAAATTATTTATAATTAATATTTATATATACATAACATTGTTGCTTTTATAAGATTAAAAAAAAAAATAAAAAGCATTTTCGTGTTCATTAAATAAAGTCACAACCAATACGCGTTTCTTTACAATTGAATTGACATGTCAATATAATCAATTAAATGTCAATTATTTACAATTTTAATGATTTGAACTATTGCCTCAATATTTATGTTCAAATATATAATTCTTATAGAAAATAAATAAAATATAATAGAAAAGAAAAAAAATATTTAGGGCAAAAATAATTTGACTAATTACAAATTTGTCCGTTTAATTTACGATTATTTTACGTATAGAACACATATAAACTGAGTGACTCTAATATAATTTCTCTGGATTTATAGATACTTTCAGTATTATCTTTTTCTTTTTTACATCACATTTTTCCGGAGTAAATAATATTGAGTACGCTTAATTATTCACTTATTTGAAAATGAAAAAAAAATTAAATCGCATTTTTTTTTTCTTCTCAGTCAGCCATACTCCATGTATATAATATTATCAATTATTAAATTAAAGATCATTAATAACTTATGGTTTTACACCTAAATTCTACATATCTTTGAATCTCCATAGTGCATTTTTACAATATTCAAACGATAACATGAATAAGTGAAGTAATTTCATTGCATATTTTTTTTTAGTTTTCTTTTTTTTTTTTTCATAACTTGAATTAAAATGATGAAATATATGTTAGTATAAAAACAATAATAATTATTTAAAAAAATGTTTCTTAAATAAATGTTAGCGAATTTTACTTACGTATGTATGATACTGATGAAAACTAGGAGTATTAAATTGAAATATGATACTACATACGTATTGAATTTTTTGTTCTTATGGCGAAATACTTGAAATGTGCGATTCCACGACAGTTGTCAAACATCCATGTGTTTTGTTTGCGGATGAGTTATAAATGGTTCACTCCACATTCTTCTTAAATCCCCCTTTAAAAAAAAATTATAACAATGGAAATTAAGAATTATCAAATATGAAACTATAAATATTTAATAATCAATAATATTTAAAAATTATTATACCTTAAGATATGCCATCGTAAGTAACGGCAAAAGCGTAAACGGTACGAGATAAAGTAATGCGGGCTGCGCAGCTTTAAAAACCTCAGAGCTTACAGTGGCAGTAAGTAGACCAAGAAAATAACCGATGAGTGAACAGTGGAAGTAACTGATACGACCAAGATGTCTTGGAGGTGGTACTCCAGCTTCACAACCACCGGGAATTAGTTGGCTTTTTTTATAAGCGTCGTAACGTAAGACAAAGCATAGTAAAAGCCCAGGCATAACAACGTCACCAAGACCGAGCATTGAGAAGTGACCGGCTTGATGCATTGATGGGAAAACCAGTTTGCCAGGTAAAGAAAGCTTAGGAGCTTCACGTGCAACTCCACCAAGATGTAATCGTCTTGCTACGAGTCCGACGGGATTATCGGCTGGCCTAGTGGCTACCTAAAAATGAAATTATATTAAAATTATTATTAAAAGAATAAAATAGATTTAATGAGTAATAAATAAATAAATAATAATAATAATTTATAGATATTTTTTTTTCTGACATAAGTCCTGACAGGAATAATAATAATACTAATTATAATAATGTGTTTAATATATGACTATAAATCGGTAATTTTATTTAATAAAGAAGAGAAACAAAGATAGTTATTATTATAAGCCGAGGTACCCGACCCAATTCTTGAAGAATGACTAATTTTTCATTATTATTCCTTCACCATAATATTTTATCGGTGTGAGATCTCATACCATCAGAGAAAATCTTAGGTGAAAATGCAACAATTAAAATTTATTTTGACAAATTTTGTTAGAGAATGTGTAAAGCTATAATTTTTTACTCAGTGTAACTTTTTTCGGTAAGTGAAAAAATTATTTTTTCTGTCCGAATTATTTTTTCACTTACCGAAAAAAGTTACACTGTGTAAAAAATTACATCTTTACACATTCTCTAGCAAAATTTGTCAAAATAAATTTTAATTGTTGCATTTTCACCTAAGATTTTCTCTGATGGTATGAGACTTCATACCGATAAAATATTATGGTGAAGGAATATAATAATGAAAAATTAGTCATTTTTCAAGAATTGGATTGGGTACCTCAGCTTATAATAATAACTATCTTTGTTTCTCCTTTTTATTAAATAATAATAATAATAATAATAATAATAATAATAATAATAATAATAATAATAATAATGTATTTTACCTTAACCATGACGTTTGTACTAAATATATAAGATGAAAAGAAAACCCAGAAAACGTCGTAAATGAGTAATCCAGTGAGTAACAGTGTAGATACCTTCAGACTAGGTAGTCTTACAAATGCTATGAAGGCGACACATAAACCCATACCCATTGCGTCCATCAGTAACCAGTGTCCTGTCAATACCCAAATACATACTATACTGACACTAAGTGAGAATGATAACAACTCAGCACTGGTAAACCTCCCGCAAACTCCAAATGATATTTTGTTTCCATCGGAACACGGTCGTATGATATACTGGCACATAGGTAGAAGAAGAAATGCTAGTGCGACCGTCGCAATAACTGTTAAATAGAAAAGATAGATTAGAAGTAGATAAGTAATTATAATAACAATTAAACTTACTTGCTGTGCAAATAGCAAACAGCATTTGCATACTATCAAAAAAGAAAAACATGATAAGTAGAGATATGGAAGCACCAAGAGGTAAACAAAGAGCGTGCATGGTATCCAGAGTTTGTACACCAGAACTAGCAGAACTATCGGCACCACCAGTACCACTAACTATTCCACTGAGCAAATTTTTTCGCTCTTTTTCTTTCTCTCTTTCTCTCGCTTCTTGTTCCATATTAAGAGATCGAAAACTTCCATAAACGATTAGCAAAATCGAAATCAGGAAAGTGGATACTCTAGACGAATCCATAATGGAATAAGCCCTGAAATAAAAATTTATAAATTTTCAAGGTTGACATGTTCTACATTTGTATTATCATAATTATTAAGAAAAGACATTTTCGGTCCGGACCGAATGCTTATCTCATGGTATTAATATTTCTTCTAACCACTGATAATCAACTTGATTAGTGGCCATCTTTAAGAATCAGCTGGCCGCAGGCGTTTGTTGGTACAGTGCGAGGATACTATGACATTTATATGTCCTTTCTCAAATTTCTGTCCATTGGCACCAACTTGCATCTAAGATCATCTGTAAACCATTCTTTGGGCATAAAAATATCACTTATTATTAAATCATCAAACATAAAAAAAAAATTACATAAATAATATCAAGTACCTGAACTCTTCTACATTAAGCATATTTATTAATTATAACTTGAATTGTAGATATTCAAATTACCACTTGTTATCAATAAATCAAGTCACCCGTGTATGATTACTTTTCTTCATCAATATTTACACATTTATTCAGTTGAATAGAATAATAATTCAATTATTCTTAATTACAAACAAATACACTGGACCTGTTAAAACAAATATATATTTCTTTTAAATAACAGATTAACAGTTTTAATAATCATGATATGATATTAACATATCAGTGAATAAAAAAAAAACACTTGAAACCTAAATAATGAAACCCATAAATAAAGATCATTTTCTTAACTGTATTATTAGAGTTTCTAACACTTTTTTTGTAGCTTTAAAAATACAGAAAGAGAAATTTTTCGAGCACCGATGCGTAGTGCATTAGACAAATAACTGCAGTATAACATTAAACTAATAATAAAAAAACTCTTGAAACTAATAATGCTCAAGTCATCTAACAGAAGTAACAAAGGAAACTAACACATAAGGTGAATATTTGTGATGACAAGCACACAATTGTTTGTCAATTGCAATAGGTCACCATTTTAGTAAACATAGATCACGTGACTGGATGGCCCCTGGCCCTTAAAGAACTCAACTCTCCTTGTCCCGGGTCATAAAACTTCACCTATCGTATGGGACATATAATACTTACATTGTGAATATGTATGTATATAACAAAATATATGAAGAAAAAAATCTAATAGAAGCAATCTTACCTGCTGAGCCGTCCAAAACTACAACTCGTAAGAGTTGAATTCATCACTTTTTTGGATTATATTTTTTTGCTGTAGTTGTAATTTATTGTAAATTGCAATACATACAAATATGTATTTATAAACCTTTCACTTGGCGGATAAATGCCATTAAAAAATGGCCACTCGCACTTGGCAATTGATGTTGGTTGCTGTTACAACCAACAGCTTTAACTTACTCGTTGTATGTTGCTCTCAGTAACTATTGCTTGCTTACTCTCTGCTTTTATCTATGTATATATATTTAAAAGGTACGTTTACATCTGTATACAACATAGGTATAAAGAATTCGATGTCAGTGGGAGTGAAAAGGGTGAATTAAAATTAGATTTTAAATGCGCATGCGTTGGAGTGATTGGTTTAATACAAAAACCAATTGCAGTTATGTATTTCCTCGGATTTTTTTATTATTTTTTTGGTTTTAATAGACTTGTTAATTACTTAAGCATTTCACTTTATAATTGATATAAATCATTATTTATTAAGTCTTTAAGAAAAAGTTATTCTCTAACAATCTGTCATTTTTATTAAATCAAATATTGATTGATGATTAAAATTACAATCACTGTTCTCATACATGATTTAATAAAGTGATTATCACAAGTATCTATTAGATTTTAAGTTTATTAAATCTTGAGTTTCCGGGATCAATTAAATTAGTTATTAAGAAGTATTAACACAATTAGGTATTAAAATTGTATTTTAGTATCATTTTCTGATGATAATAAAATTAAATTATGTTTTTAAATTTTATTAGAAATTTTTGATTTTCAATATTGGAAATAAAAATATTAACGCAACGATTCTAAAAATGATAATAATAAATGAAAATTAAGTTAGCTGACATTTTCAATTTTTTAATTATTTTTTATTTATTAAATAAAAACTAAAAAATATTTTTAAAAAATTTCACTGATAGTTTTTCAAGTTTTTTACAAGTGAAATTTTTTATTTTCTTCTTATTGTAATAATTTTTCAATAAAAAAATTTCTGAAAGTATTTAGATGTCGACTAACTTAATTTTCAATAATAATATAATAAAGTTATTAGCCGAAATTTTTTATTTTTTTATTTTGCTTAATTTATCAAATTATAACTAAAAAATATTTTTTATAAATTGCACTTATAGTTTTTGGAGTTTTTAATTAATGAAAAAATTTTTTTGTAATAATTTTTTAATAAAAAAAAAAATCATAAACATTTTTAAATGTCGGCTAACTTTATTTTCATCTAAAAATGTCTTTATGTCCAATTTCATAAATATTTCTTATTTATTTACTAAATGGATTTTGTGAACTCCTAATTTATCTTCTATTTTTTTATTTATATTGTCATATTTTTTCAACACAGTTACATCAGACGGTTCATCGAAATTATTTGTGTGAAAGATATAATTGGAGATATACAGATACCTGTATAATTGATAATGACTTTCTATATTTTATACTCAATACATGCTTTGCCGCAAATTTTTATCAGCAGTGGTACCAACCTTATTATAAAAAAAAAGTATTCAAAGTATTCTCCATCGACGCCTTGACAGGGGCATAAGTAGTCAGAAGTTTGGTTAGAATTCCGGTTGTTGTTGTAGGTACATAAATAAATGTTTCAATTATTTTGGAGTTACTGCTGAAAATAATTGTTTTTATTGATATTGATACTACTAAAATTTTGGTAATTATCCTTAAATTTCTATAATTATAATTGTATTGGTAAAATACATTAATCAATAAACCTATTTTGATAATTGTAGTCGGTATTTTGTAATTTTTTATATTATTATTTTTAAATTAAAGCTTTTTCAAGTAATAATAAATGGTATTTTACCAATTTATTCATCATATTTAATTGTTTGTAATTGATATATTTATATGAATTTTTTTTTTTTTTCAGTCAGATTTATATTGGAGTAATAAATTGAATAAAAACAGTCGATCATGGCTTTACGTACGTACGGTGACAAACCAATAAGTTTTCAAGTTGAAGAAAATGGAGAGTATTATTGTATTGGGTCGGAAGTCGGTAATTACTTGCGACTTTTTCGCGGGTCATTATATAAACGTTACCCTGGAATGTACCGGAGATCTATAACTAATGAGGAGCGAAAAAAATTAGTTGAATTGGGATTGAGTCAGCATGTACTGGCATCAAGTGTTTCTTTGTTGAGAGCGAGTGAAGTTGAAGACATTATTGAGGGTAACGATGAGAAATATAAAGCTGTTTCGGTTCACTCCACTGAACTTCCAGCACCACGAGAAGGAAAAACTAAAAAATCAATGGCTTGGGTACCTAGTTTGCCAAATAGTTCTCACTTGGACGCAGTACCTCAAGCAACTCCGATCAATCGCAATAGAGTTCACAATAAAAAAGTTAGAACTTTTCCACTGTGGTATGTACTACACTAAACTTATTATTGATAGTTATTGACTATGTTTGAATAAATTTAAATGGATTTTTTTATCAATATTTTAGCTTTGATGATACCGACCCATCAGTTAATCTTGAGAATGCTCTCCAGCAAGAAATGCTTGTTCCTATTCGTTTAGATATGGAAATTGAAGGACAAAAACTTCGTGATACATTCACGTGGAATAAAAATGGTAATTTTTTTTTTATTATTTAAAAATTATATTGATGGATTTAATGATTAAATATTTATTAATTTTTAATTTTAGAAAGCTTAATAACTCCAGAGCAATTTGCAGAAGTTTTATGCGATGATTTAGACTTAAACCCTTTGACATTTGTACCAGCAATAGCACAAGCAATTAGACAACAGATTGATGCATTCCCTCAGGAAACTATTTTAGATGACCAGTGCGATCAACGTGTAATCATTAAATTAAACATTCATGTGGGTAATACATCGCTAGTTGATCAAGTTGAGTGGGACATGTCGGAAAAGGAAAATAATCCTGAAAAATTTGCTATGAAACTTTGCGCTGAGTTAGGTCTCGGTGGTGAATTTGTCACTGCTATTGCTTACAGGTAAAATAACAATTTTTTTTTTCTTAAGGGGTTAGGTGGGTTTCAGAGGTTCAAAAAGAAGGGTATTTTTACTATTTTTTTTTTTTTAGTATATACCATCATATATTTTATTTAAGCAATATCAAAGATACATATTTAAACAGTATTTTGTGAAATTTTTATTTAAAAATTCTCCCTTGACGTCTCAAAAAAAAAAAAAATGCTCTTGCTGTGGACAGCATAACTCATAATTGGTTCATCTAAAATCAAAGATCCAAACATATTTCGTTAGTACATGGATAAATCTCATTATGGACGAAGGATTTTTTTTTTTATTACAACTAATTTTTTCGAGCAAATACATGGCGAAAATTTTACCAAAAAATGTGTTTTTTTTGTTCAAAGTCTGTCAAAAATTCAAATTTTAATTATCCAAACATATTTCGTTAGTACATGGATAAATCTCATTATGGACGAAGGATTTTTTTTTTTATTACAACTAATTTTTTCGAGCAAATACATGGCGAAAATTTTACCAAAAAATGTGTTTTTTTTTGTTCAAAATTTGTCAAAAATTTAAATTTAAATTTTTTTTATTCTCTTTCGTCCGATAACGAGATTTATCCATGTACTTACGAAATATGTTTGGATCTTTGATTTTAGATGAACCAATTATGAGTTATGCTGTCCACAGCAAGAGCATTTTTTTTTGAGACGTCAAGGGAGATGAGGTGCCAACGGCTGAGTTTTCGGAATTTTTAAATAAAAATTTCACACAATACTGTTTAAACATGTATCTTTGATATGCTGAATTATTTAAATAAAATATATGATTGTATATATTAAAAAAAAAAATAGTAAAAATACCCTTTTTTGAACCTCTGAAACCCAACTAACCCCTTAATTACTCCATTTTTAGTTTCATAAATAATTTATATATACATATATTTTTAGTGTAAGGGGACAATTATCTTGGCATCAAAGAACTTATGCTTTCTCTGAAGCTCCATTACCCACAGTTGAAGTTCCGTTTAGACCACCTTCTGAAGCGGATCAATGGGCACCATTCTTAGAAACACTTACCGATGCTGAAATGGAAAAGAAAATACGTGATCAGGACAGAAATACTCGGTAATTTTTCGTTATTTATAATTGTAAAATATTTTAATTGCAATACAATTTTTAATATTTGTTTTTTTTTTTTTTTTCCTTTTTAATTCACAGGCGTATGCGACGACTGGCCAATACTACACCAGGATGGTAAACAGTTCCAGATACTTTTCCCGTTTATGTACCATAAATTTAAGAATTTATAATCTGTAATCTAAACATTTAATCAATTGATAAAAAATTTGTTCATTTCACAATTGTACAATTATCGTGTGCAGAGCAATTCAAATATTTCATATATTGCTCTGATTTTTTATTAAAATTTATCAATTCATGTATTGAAATTTTTAAATATTTTACCTCAAACTAATTGAAATATTGCTTAAAATAGTTGATAGCATAGCACATTAATTCATTAATTTAAGATTTAATCGAGGAAAAGCTGTATGAAAAAAAAATTCTCATTAAAAGATTAGAATCTTGCTAAATAAGCAAAAAGATTAGTTTCAGTATTTTTAAATTAAAAGAATATTGATTATATAAATTTATTTAATTAATTTCATCATTTCTTTTCTTTTGTTACTTGCAAACAAACGTATAATTAAATATGAACTTAAAGGTTGAGATAATAAAAATTGATAAATATAAATTAATTTGATTTCTCTTTAGTAAAATAAATATTTTTATAACATTTTACAATTTTTAATAGTTGAATATCACGAGTAAGTAATTTTTTAAATGAAAAAACATCTAGAAGTAAAAATATTTACTTTCAACAAGTTACATAAATTCTGAAAATAGTAAAAACTATGTAACTTTCACAATAATGAGTGAAGCAATTACAGCTCATTTTCTTCAATGAATAAACTTGAATGTTACATATGTGTGAATTAGTGTCTGTGTATATCAAGTGGTTGACGCTTTTTATAATAAAAGGAATTTGCTATTTGCTACGAGTACCAGTACCAGTACCAGTAACAACAGAATAGATGACGTGGGAGCTAAGAATTTACATGGAGCGACAAATAGCTTAAAAAAGATATTGACTTCGCTGTAGAATTAGTGTCATGATGAATTGAGTTTAGTTTGCCTCCAGCACTTGCCGGTTGGAGGTGGGTAAGGTTACCAGGATAAACGTATTTGCTTGTTTAATTAATAAAATTTTGCAAGCATGGATTTTATATCATTTGCTCAATCAATGTCTAATTATAAAGACAGTCCTAAAGGAGTACCGGGTAATCCGTTCCCATCAAGGCCCTGGTTACAGGATCGTGCTGCTGCTGCTCCAGCATCATCTAATATTGGAGTCAAAGGAATCATTGCCGGTATTTTTTTATAAATAATACTGATAAAAATGTACAGATATTCAGACAGTAAATTTTTTTCTTAAATTCACTTAAACTAAAAAATTTCAAATAAGTTTTAACGTTAATAAATTATTAATTGCACGGCCTTGTGCTATTTGTTTATAAATTACAAATGTGTTATTGCGATAATACTGTAATAAATTATCATAGATTATTAATTAATTTTTATTTGATGTATGCTTATTTACAGGAGGAATAACTGGTGGTATTGAGATTTGTATCACATACCCAACGGAATATGTTAAGACGCAATTACAATTAGATGGGAAAGCTGGTGCTGGTAAACAGTACTCAGGAATATGGGACTGTGTCACAAAAACAGTAAAAACAAATGGATTTTTTGGCCTATATCGTGGCCTACCTGTTCTTCTTTATGGTTCTATACCAAAGTCAGCTGTGCGATTTGGTGCATTTGAAACCGTTAAAAATCAGCTAGTTGATGCTGATGGTTCATTAAACGCACAACGTCGGCTTTTAGCTGGTCTATGTGCTGGTATTTGTGAAGCAATACTTGCTGTTACACCAATGGAAACTGTCAAAGTTAAATTTATCAATGATCAACGATCTGCTAATCCTCAATTTCGTAGTTTTTTTCATGGAGTTAAGCTTATTGTAAAAGAACAAGGTGAGTTTTGTACATTTATAATTTTATTTAACATCATAAAGTCATAATTTAATCATCTTTATATTTTTTATACTCAGCATAATTGCTGAAAGATATTATTATTATTATTATTATTATTGTTTAATCCTTGAAATAATTACATACGATACTAGCATTCAAATTTAAAATAATTCGTTATTTATTATGTAATAATGTATTTACTCAATAGATTTTATCTGTGTAGTAGTATAATAAAAATGATAAGGACATACTAATCATGGATAATAAATTTATTAGTATCTCATCTTTATCACTTTGTGTACATATTTTTCGTTCAGCGAACTTTACACAAGATAATTGAGAAAAAAAAATTGCTAGAAATTAAACTTTTACCTTGAATAATTAAATCGTATTTCAAATCATTAAAAAACGGATGGATGGTCAAAGTTCTTGGCTACTTTTATATACCTCGTGAAGAAATAATATTTTAACTTACTATTTATTATTTGGCATACTGACAATATGCAAATAAAAAATATTTTCTTTCAAAAAATATTTTATTTTTACATAAAATCGACCAGTCATTTCATATTTCTATAAATAAATCCGATCTCTGACGCAAGACTCTGGAGAGTAAAATCTATTAATAAAATTTGATAAACTTAAAAAAATATTTTTTTATCAGGTTTGAAAGGGGTCTATCAAGGAGTAGTGCCGACAATAATGAAACAGGGTTCTAATCAAGCTATAAGATTTTTTGTTATGGAGACAATGAAAGATTGGTATCGTGGTGGAGACAATAACAAACAAGTACCTAAGGTGGTTGTCGGTATATTTGGAGCTTGCGCTGGTGCTGCATCAGTATTTGGAAATACTCCAATCGATGTGGTGAAAACAAGGATGCAGGTAATAATCAATCGTCTCAGTGTTCGAAGTAAATATTTGTTTTATATTTGTAAATTTATTTAATTTTAACTTTCAGGGTTTGGAAGCATATAAATACAAAGGAAGTGTAGATTGCGCTGTACAAGTTTGGAAAAAAGAAGGTCCACGTGCATTTTACAAAGGAACTGTTCCACGATTAGGAAGAGTATGTCTTGATGTTGCCATAACATTTATGATTTATGATTCATTTATGGATCTCTTTAAGAAAGTATGGCCATAAACTATATCTATCACATATTTATATAATATATTTTACATACAGAGTGCCCCCTAAACAAATAATTGTGTCAAAAAATTGCGCAAAATCATCGATATTTTGAATTTATTTCTTACTAAATCTTTGATAGTAGTGACAAGGATTTTTATACAGGAAAATTTATAAAGTAAGATATACAACATAAAAAAATAGCGAGCTTAAATATTATTTATAACTGGGTTTAATTCAAACTTTAATTAATTATCACGTTGTACAGATTTTTTTTTTTTCATTTGCGATGGTATAATAGAGTAATTTAATAATGTAAATGTGTAAAAAATATTCATATTTAATAATTTATGAATATTCATGCCTATAATCTATAGAAAAAACCAAAGTTCATCTTGCAATAATTTTTTTAATCAAGAAAAGTTTTTTTAAGAGATTTATACAAAAATTTTATGTTTATTACTTTGTTGAATAATATTTTTCTTACCGTACCATCAATTAAAATGGGAAAGAAAGTTTATTTATAATTATATATTTAGATTTATTTAGAAAAAAAAAAAATTTTTTTTTCTCTTTATTATCAACTTTGTCACATTATCTATTGTTCATCAAGCAATATAATATCATGAGAATTGTTGGGTGAAGTGAAATTTTAATTATGAGTAAAACATCTACTGAAAACATTCCACAAATCATTCCAAACTAATATATACAACAACTTGAGACAAGATTGATATTTTATTGTGTTTTTTGAAATGATCGATCCTTACAGTATACTAGGAGTTACTCCGACGTGCTCGGATGATGACATTAAAAAGTATTATAAACGACAGGCCTTTTTAGTTCACCCAGACAAAAATAGTCAACCAGGTGCAGAAGAAGCATTTAAAATTCTTGTTCATGCTTTCGACATTATAGGCGAACCGGTACGTTATTTAATACTTACTTAATTATTATTGTTACATACTTGTATACTTGATTTTCCAATTATTGAGATTTTTTTTTCACCAGGAACGAAGACAAGCATTCGATCAGTCTAGGCAAGTTGAAGCGGCTTGGGGAGAATTAAGTGATTTGTTATCTCAATTACATCGAAAAATGGAACAAGCGGCTAATACAATTAGATGTACAAACTGCGGATTGAGGCACAAACGAATTCCTACTCAAAGACCTTGTTATGCAGCAAGATTTTGTAGTCAATGTAAAATTCGTCATAGTGCAAAAGAAGTAAGACTGATGAGTTTTATATTTAAGGGGACCCGGTGGTCTAGCGGCCTAAAATTTAAGCTATTTTAAAAATTTTATTTTTATATGAAGGTAATAACTAATGCTTTCAATTTTTTTTTACTCATTCTATTACTTATTAACTGCACAAAAATGAAAATCAAAACAAAAAAGAAATTTTTTTTAAATTAGAAAAATAACGCTGAAGTTCTCCTCTAAAAAAAAAATGGACCTGACTGGTGCGTGACGATTGATCTCTCCCTCTGATCTAAAATAAAAAAAAATGATGGATTTTTAATTAGTATAAGTATAGTTATCGTCGAAACTAGAATGAAAAAAAAAAAAAAAAAAAAAAAAAAATTTTTAAAAAA